GCTCCTTATCGAACCCGGTGGAAGTCTAGTAGCTTCTTCAAACTATCGCCAGTCATGAAAAGATCCGGTCAAATGACACGAGTTTAGATCTATGAACAAGGCACGAAATGGAAAAGAATCGGCGACAGGCCACATCAGGCCTACACTTCAGAGCCGACATCACTATGTTATGTTATGTTATGTTATCTCTTCTTATGCTGGCTACAAGCCCAAGATAAATGTCAAAAATAAAAATATATATAACTAAAACAACTCAATTATAAATTGTATACGGTTATTAAATGAATTTCAACTGTGCTTTTGGAACTTTATTATGTAAGCTGAAGTTCCCATAAAATTTCGAAGAGTTTCTTTGCTGAGAAAGAAGCGTGCGTTGCCTGCGGTGGGTCATCAGAACAGCACAGATGCACTGCCTGTCACGGCTTGATGTATCAAATCACACACTTCGGTCTCGACTGCTGCTTGAACACCGTCGTTGAGCAACTGTAGCAACATATTTACAAGCAGCATGTACACCGGCGTGTCAGCAGGACCAACTCCTTTCAGGTCCAAGTGCGAGTAACTGTAATAACAATGCTTAGTATAATAAACAATAGCCTGGTAGTTGATTGTTCGATAAATAGGAGTATCCCATGTTACTATAATTTCTGAAACGTGTTAGTTTACCTGAAGTCTTCGATGAAGCAGTATTCGAGTGTCAGGTTAGCTTGTGAGATAAATACATCAGTCTTGAAGTTGACGCTCAAGTATGGAAAACCGAAAATGAATGTGAAATGCGACCCCATCAATCCGACCTCTGTTCTCGTCGAGTACGTAACCTGATAGTAAAAAAATAGGTAAAACACTATATAAACTTACCGAACAATTATTCTGATACTTCAAAGTCAAGTATCGAGTAAAACAATCATTATGGCATCGTTTCGGACATTGTTGTTCGCAATTATAATACAAGTCAGATGTTGCATTCAACGGTAGCGTGGGACTCATTGAACGTATAAAGGTTTTATTATTCTCACCTCGAGGCCTGTGAGGCCGACCTCCCCAGCCACGATGAGCTCGTTATCCAGGAGGCCGTAGTCCAGACTCATGTTACCCGTCCTATGGATGGTGCCAAGACCTCGCACGGAACCATCACCTACCCATACGCTGCCGTTCATCGACTGGTTAAACAACTGTGAAAACAAACCGGTCAAGTTAGTGGCAAAGAATTCATTTATAATGTTTCAGTTTACTGTAGCAGTTCTTCGAATAATGAGCCATGCGTATTTTAAATTATCTTTAGAGACACGCTATCGCCAAACAACTTTGAAAAAAATCAAGTTAGTAACAACGAATTCATTCATAATATTTTACGTTGTTACAATAATAATAACGATTTCAGCGTTCGTTTATTAGGCCGTTGGACTGTCGCCGATTAAACATCGCAGAACATTCACTGCTTGCTAATTATTTATGAATTATTTCCAATAATGAGTCATCACCAGCGTGATGCTCAGTGTTTTATTAATAATACATTAATATACCGTGACCATCAGCGAATGGTTAAACAACTGCGCAAATAAAAAATCGATAAAAATTAATTAGTAATAATAGATTAAATTTGTGCATCAGTTTCGTCATCGTACCGTTTTATTTAAAGTTACATTCGTAAGAATCTGTAGCCATCGGCAGAGGACCGATGGAAATATTGTTTTATTAAGTTTCGCGCAAACTTTCAAGTGTAGACGCATTATCCAGCTGGAGTAGAAATCATTCCATAATCTAAACGAAATTATGCGAGTGTTAATAACTGACGTAGGAAGTTAAGGCATCGAGACAACTTGGCGAGGTAACTATTATTTCTTAAACATTAACCACTTATTGGATTTCACGCAGGAGATTAGCAACACTCAAAATGAGTATATTCTATATATTAAAGCTAATTTTCGGATTCACATTATTTTAGTGTGAGTAAGGAAGACTTGCAAGTAATGAATTTCAGGATCTGATAAAAAAAACGGGTAATAAATGCTTAAATCTCAGAGTTTGCATATTCCAAATAATGCCGGTTTCTTTAAAATTTCTAAATATCTACTGTAATTGACTCAAAAATTTTCTATTTAAAATTTAGTTTCCCTGCCCCATGACTCACGGTGACGGTGAAGAAGTCTTCGTCCGATGCAAGAGGCAAGGGATCAAGTCCGCTGTTAGCGATGTCTTGGCGCATGTCGGCGAAGATATGATCAAACTTCGTGTTCACGGCGATCCGGAGATCACCACTGTCAACATACCCAATGAAGAATAACTAAATTCAAGGAGAAAAAATTAGTTGCGATGAATGAATCATTTTTTCCTCATTAGCGCCATCAAATGAAAAGTGAGCTATTTAAAATATTAATTAGCAACTGAGAAATAGCAAATGGAAATCTGCGCTGGAAAGTAAATGAAAAAAAGTATTTATATAAATTTTTTTAAATAAATAATAGCGAAAATGTGCAAAGTTGTATATATCTTATTCCTATGGCTATGCAATAAGAAATATCACAATAGGCCCAATAAAAGATATAATATAAATACAATTTAAGGTAAATAAATTGGTATTTATTTAATATTATAGGCTATGGAACCTCACTCGTTGACTGCCACGTCACGATGACCCGCTGCTCCAGTCCTACTTTTCGCATCCACCGGACCTGAACAATTCGTCATGATTAAATCAGCAACTTTATCAGGTCCTCAAATATTGAATAATGCATAACATACTACGATGCATAAAAATTTGCATCGTAGATTTTTATCTCAAATTAATTTAGAATAATATCTAAACAATCGAATCTTTTGATTTTTAGGCCGGGCTATTCATGGGATACTGATTTCAGCTAGGAAAGTAGCTAGCTACATGAATGAGAGCTCCATAAAACTATGAGTCTAATTCAAGTCCCTTGCATTTCTAAGGGATCGAAATTGCAATGTTCATTGAAATAAAATAACTGTACAAATTTTTTAACCATTACACAATGCATGGTGAAATATTACATAGCTTGTACTTTTTCTGTTGTTACGGTGCCACTAGGCAAGAGTAGAAGAGAACAAGAGGTAGCGCAGAGTGGCCAGAAAGAGGAACGAGTAATGGAAGAGACATCAGAAAATGAAAAAGTTGCATTTGAATTTTGAATTGTATGATGCGCGATTATTATGGTGTTAGAACGTTATTACGCTGGATTACGCAAACCTTTCATCGCTAGAACGATTGATCATTTCAAATATTAATATGTTTTAGAGTTATGAAAAATGACTTAAAAGATGCTGATAAAAATATATAATTAATGGTATTACTTAAGATTTTCTCTGACGTGGAAAGGTTATGGCGTTTAGAAATCAAAACGTTAGAAAGTTATAATTCAAAATCTTCTGGAGGATTGAATGTTTGATGATATCAAAATTACTGATCTACAATAGTCATTTCATAATAATTTTCATTAAATCACATTAAAACTCACACGTCATCACAGTCAGCGCAACAAGCGCGGCCACTGCTTTAAGAACGCTGGTTTTCATCACGGTGTTTCTGTCGTCGCCTGAAACTAAATATTTACATGAATTCATTTAAATTAATATATATCATAGTATGACAATGGCTGGCAGGTCTCGTACGCTCCAAAACTACGCTCACGATTCACACATGGAAATCATTCTTGCTACATCGGACATAAAATACGGTGGGAAAATCTTGTAATTCAAATTCAATAGTTGTTGATAAGCGTTGATGTGTTTTGAAAACTAAGACAAGCAGATTTAAAAAGATCTTGTATTGATATTGTACGAAAAATAAATGCTCGGTAATGGTCAGATCAAACAAAAGAAAATGAAAAAGTGGAACTTTGATGAGTTTCTTAATCGTATAATAATTAATAACATTGAACGGAAGCGGGACCAAAACTGTAATGAAGCTAGGGGCTCTCTGCAGGAGAGTCAATCTGTGGTTTTTGTAAGTGTATTTGGATTTTTTAAAGAAAATGTAAATTTAAATTCCCTTTCGAATCGTGCTCTCTGTAAAATTTAAACATTACTCTATAAAAAATGACATGCATTTGATCGAAATGACTGTCAAATAAATTACACTTTTCAAGTGCTTTCACTGGATTTCATATTTATTTACTATTTTGAAGGTTTTTGCGTCGAAAGAATTTTTGGATGTACGTATAATATCGGTTGTGCAATAATGCTCGTAATCAGACATTAATATGAATTCGTATAGTACGAGAGAAAATAGATTCGAGGAGGAGGCTTAATCATCTTGTTTCACGCCCTATCATTGTCACCTTGAACTTATGTTTTAAAAAGCACTGAGATAGAGCAAAGAGATATCAGCCTCATCTTCATAAACTCATGATGGATAATTTAAAATTGCCTCGTTGATGTGAAACTTCAAAGTTTAATCTGCTACACATATAAGATAGCTGTGAACGTTTCGATTCTATGAAGGCATTCAAATAATTACGACTGTTAAAATTGAGACCTATGTTGATTTAAAATGGGAAAACAATTTAGGCACAACCATTCATATCCTAGAACCTGCTACAAGACCTAATTAAGATTACAAGGAATTTAAAAGCAAACAAAACGCCAACCAAATTCACCATATCGATATTGAAAACCTTTCGGAGTCCAGCTCCATCATCAGTTCGACAAACTAAGAATGAATAAAATCATTGAATTGCATTTGCTTGGCGTTTTATTTGCTTTTAAATTCCTTGTGAACTTGCGATACAAGCAGACTGATAATATAAGTACTTAATTAAGATTGTGGTTTTAACAAAAAAATAAACAGTCACATAGAATTGACACAGACGTAATAAGTGAACCCAGCGCCTGCACAACTCACGGTGAGGAGAAAGTGTTGTTGTGGTAGAGCGCTCGAGTGATTACAGCACACAGGGAAGGCAGCCATGTGGCACCGAGTGATTTGACAGCTGTTTATCATTACAGTCTATCATCACACTGTTATCATGACATATTGTTTCTATCAAAGTCGTAGCCCCCCATTAAAAACTTGCACGCATGGTGGCCACAATCTCACGGATGAATATAATTCAAGAAAGAAAATTGTGTAACTTAGAATCGTGCTAATTGAGACATATCTAGCAGAGTGAAAGTTTAACGTAGGTTTTGCTACAAGCCCGAAGAATAATTGTAATTAAAATTTGTTTTTTTATTATCCGTCACAATTTAGAGAATAAAAGTTAAGACTTTTAAGACCTTAAGTTAGCATAGTTCGCGGGGACATATCATAATAATATTAGAATAGTATGGTAGTTATAGGATAGTATAAGAATAGGCCAAGTTTGGACGATCGGTGATTCTTGGAATACTCTTGACTTGTCTTCTTTAGTGCAAGAGAACTGGCCTTTCGACCATGCATATCCGTCCAGAACTGATTTTCATCTACGGATTTTTACAGATTTTTGTTTCTGAATTTATACCGATTTTCGATTATACTTTTGTCATTATCAAGTAAATTGATGGTTTTGTAGCACTTTAAATTGAAATTTCAGAATAATATAAATACAAACATTAGATATTATGAATAGAACTCTAAGATTAATGCAGCGTGATTCACTAAAACTTCCTGTTTTATTTTGTACTTCGCGCCAAGCAGCCAGATGTTATAGGAAAAGGTGGGGGAACATTTCGTTTGAAAAGCAAAGTCATGAAATTTTATGTCGCGCCTAGTCAGTTGCCGCTATATGCATTGGACAAGTGGGCAGCGTGCGTTTGCTGTTGAGGCGTACTTTTCTAATGGCCGTTCCGTTATTGGTACTCAACGAGCATTCCGTACACGGTTCCGTATTCGTCCTTCAGGTCGGGTTACTGATCGAAATCGACTGTTACGTGGGGACGGTGGGTGAAAACATTTAAGGCAAGTGGCATTTGTGAATGCAAGAGGGTCTGGAGGTCAGCAGACTGCCACAACATCCAAAAAACGGAGAGAGTTAGAGAGGCGTTTCTGCGTTCTCCACACCTTTTGAGAAAAAACATTTCTCTCAAAAAGTGAGAAAAAAAAAGTTTTTTCTCGTATATATTTTTGAGATGAGCGCCTCATCTCCTTAAGAGCTGACTTTCTTTGGCCGGCCCGATCCCCAAATTTGGCTCCGTGTGATTTTTTATGGGGTTATTTTAATTTAATTGACTGTCCAAAGAACCTACCTCATTTGAAGAACATACGCATAGTCAACGCCAACATACCCGTCAATGTGCTTCTGCGAGTTTAACGGAACTTCAAAAATCGACTAACTGATTGCCTTGAAACTGAGGCCGTCATTTGTCCTATGTCATCTTTAAAACTAAATGATTAAAAATTTAGGTAAATTGTTTTTCAATAAAATTTATTTCGCAATGATATTTTTACTAGTTTTTTTATTGAGCTTGCAGATCAGGAAGTTTCCGTGAATCATCCTGTACCTTAAATTACTCAGAAAATAGGTTCAAATTTCTGACGAACCCGCTACTTCATAAATTGTTTGCTGGAAACCTACTCCTGATAATGAGGGCTTCTGCCATTTTATATAGTGTCTTGGCATTGCATGACGTTGTCGCAGTGCAAGCTTTCGGTGCCTTCACGAACGGTGGTCTCGTCCTGAGCTTGAAGGTGGCTATTGGGACGACGGTGTAATGTGGTAGTTGTCAAGCCAAATTAGTTAATACTTTGGAGAAATCTCCAACCTAATCTAAAACATGAAAATGTATAAATGACATTGTATCTAGTAGGACTTCCGAAACTTATTACAGGCATTAATCTCCACGACAAGGTTTTTGACCTTCTTGTTTTTTTTCAGTAGATCAGAAGATTATTTAAATTATTTTATTTACTTTTGATTGTGGTAGAAGATGGTCGTGATATTTATGTTTGATGCGTTTAGTACACTCAGTTTTGTCATAATTTAAAATTCCAGCGTCGATTGTTTTGTTAGCATTCAAAATATGTTTAAATTGCGGTCTGATGTACAGATGTTGAAGTCTGCTTGTATAAGAACATGCATGGTTCTCTTTTTGTGGCGCTGTACACATGTACTAACTTCGTTAAGTACTTGCCTTCATCTGCAGGGATACGGTGAACGTTATCGACATATGAAATTTCCCCAATTTGTACCAGTTTATCAGAAAGGCAACGTACGATAATTCGAATTCATAAGTGAATTTCAAGACAGGATTTATTTATGAATCCACCAGAGGCTCCGTCGTGCAATCATCCGCCCAAACAATGACAAAAATGTCGTCGACTTATCTACATTAAAGCTCATGCAGGCTTGATCAGCACGTTTAACAACACGGTTATCGAGATCACTCGTGTAGAATTCAGCTAAGGTTTGATTCGGAGTTTGCTTCGTTGCTACCCTTAGCAACGCCGTTGATTAGTCGAAAATTTTTCAAATAAGCAGTGTGTAAGAATGACTCAGAAGGACAAAGGCGAAAAATCTCGAGCATGATAATTATATGTATGCTTAGAAAACTTAGATGATATGATTACTTCTAGAAATAATTGTTAAGCATATCTATTTGTCAGCTTGTCAGCTCATCTGATACGTTGCAAACCTTCTTTTCACTTGCTAATGAACAATGTCTATTTGAAACATCGTAATATTACAATAAAATATCCATTGTTAAACAATTATCTATTATTATTTATTAACTATTATTATTGTTACTAACTTTTAAATGCTAGAGAAATTCTAATTCACTAAATTCGGAAAAATAATGAAAAATTGTTCATCAAAATTATTCGCCTGATCTCTATGAGTACCTGTGTAAAGAGTTCATGAATGTTGATTAATAAAATTTCAATGGATTCTTGAGACAGAATACCAGAGAAGTAAAGAAAAATTGCCTGCTAATTAAACACAGTGTTGCTTTCTATATTACAGCGAACAAAATTTTCCGTAAAGAATATCAACAACGCATCCATGAGACTCAAGCTTTTTGTTGGAACTAAACATTAGTTCCTTCTATATTATAAAAAAATTTTCTCAATTATATTATAAAAAATTCCTTCTATATTATAAAAAAATATAACTCAGTACTCACTGCAGTGAGTGACAGAGAGCACATTTTTTCGTCGACGAAAACTTGAGGTCACGGACGGACGGACAGACGGACGGACGGACAGACAGACAGACAGACATGGCGACTACAATAGTGCATTTTTTCCATAAATGAGAAGATGTGCTAAAAATCCTTCTATATTATATTATAAAAAATTCCTTCTATATTATAATCGCTGTGTACATGTGGAAATTTACTTATTGTACATCTTTGATAGATAAATAATACACGTGCTTTAACACAAGACATAATATAAAACTTGCAAGTCCATTCCCTTTATGACTCGTGCAGGGAAAAAGATTTACGTTTGGTAATGCTTCGGCTGAACACGTGATTACTACGTCGAGGAAAAAAAAACTAACCAACCTGAGCACCGATTGCACAAGCTCGGGACAATGGAAGGAATAAGAAAAATAATCAAGGGCTTGCGTAAAAATTACCAGTACTAAGACGAAGAATTTTCGTAAAGGACGCACGAGTATCAAAGCTCATCTGTAGTAATTACATTTTCTCTTATTTATGTGGCATGATGAGACAACTATGATTAATGATTAATGGATCTCAGAAACATTTATTTAGGTGAGAAAACATTTTTCTGAAGCTTGCCTCCTATATTATCTAGCTAGTGAGCATTTTAAACTTCTAGTTCTGGTAATGCTTACGAAGAAACTTTTTCTAACCATTTTTGTTTTGTTGTTAGTTTTGTACGCATTTCAGACCTTATCTTTAAGACTCTACTGATCTTATCTCTATGGCAGTAGTGACCTTATCTTTAAGATAGGACTGGCCTTTACTTTAAGGTAGGACTGGCCTTATCTTTAAGATAGGACTGGCCTTATCTCTAAGGTAGGACTGGCTTTATCTTTAATGTAGGACTGGCCTTATCTTTAAGATAGGACTGGCCTAATCTTTAAGATAGGACTGGCCTTATTTCTAAGGTAGGACTGGCCTTATCTTTAAGGTAGGACTGGCCTTATCTTTAAGATAAGACTGGCCTTATCTTCAAGATAGGACTGGCCTTATCTTTAAGGTAGGACTGGCCTTATCTTTAAAGTAGGACTGGCCTTATCTTTAAGGTAGGACTGGCCTTATTTTCAAGGTAGGACTGGCCTTATCTTTAAGGTAGGACTGACCTTATCTTTAAGGTAGGACTGACCTTATCTTTAAGGTAGGACTGACCTTATCTTTAAGGTAGGACTAGCCTTACCTTTAAGGTTGCACTGGCCTTATTTTTAAGATAGGATCGACCTTATCTTGAAGATAGGACTGGCCTTATCTTAAGGCTGAACCGACCTTATCTTCATTGCAGTACTCACATTATCTCTAAGTCAACGTTATCCAAACATTTTTAAGCCAATATTATCTTAAATGCTGTCAAATGCTTCTAGATCAAATGAGCACATTTGTCTCAGGCAAAATCCTCTAAATTGAACGCGGAAAAAAATTCCAGTACATACAAACGTTTTATACCACCGAGCGCTGCATATCGTTGGCTTCTGTCGAGTCTGAGGAGATGAGGAATTTCTTAAGATTTAATTATTTAGTTTAAAAGATAAAATGTGAAAGAAATAATATATTGGATACGACATTCACGTGCAGGTTTAATATTTTAAAATAAAAAATTATATTCTTATTCCACTATACATATCATAATTTTAATAATATATCATTAAGCAACAAATGGATGAGGTAAAACTTTCAAAATAATATTAAACAATAAATATGAAAATAACGTCAAGATGCAACAAACATTAATCAAATCATAAAAGCGCATGATGTGATCAAGTTTTGAAATTTTCAGTTTTTTTCCTGGTTATATTTATATTATTCTATCATAAACCTACTAAACTCCGAAAAATTACATAGATGACGAAACGCAACTTTTTTCAATAATAAAATGATAATAATTATGCCGGTTTATGCACGGGCATTATTATCTGGGACTTTTTAGTCTGAAAATATAAATACACAAATATTTTCTACCAAATAAAAATTTTCGACAACTTTATCTCGTATCCAGAATTTTTCCTTTATTTATTTGAAATTACTCATTTCCGTAGCTCTGGCGTACTGCAAGTCACTAAAAAATAAAAGTTCTTGGCTTACCCAACACGATTAATATTCATAGACGGGACAGTTCACCACAATCATTCATTGCAATGAATCAATAACAATGAGTTTTAAATAATAAAAGCCCTGTGCTACTTTACGTCACAAGTAAATGTTAAGTGAAATGTTGTAACAAACAAGCATGCGATAATTATGATAGGAAAGTAATTGGATTATATTCAGTATGTGAAGACGAAATGGAGTTAAAAAAGTCTACGGATATAAAAACCAACATTTAAGTATCCCGAATTTGAGTATAGTTACAGAGATATGCGACCTAAGATTAATAACCTTAATTATATAATATTTATTTATGTAATTACTTTCCATAAAAAAAAATATTTGTTTGCTTTTGAGCCGGATTGTACTCTGCCAGGCATAACACTGCTGTCAACCGCTCAGAAGTTATTACTGAGATTCAAATCCTTTAGTTTGGCAACTGCGGCATGGCAACCTTAAAGGTCTGGACCAGTGTTGCCAGCCAGCGTGCCCTTTTCTGCCCCGGGCTGGAAGACTCGTCTCGCCGCCCCGTCATCGATTTCCAGGAGGACGCCGCTTACCGGCAGGGGGCGCACCACCCGATTATCGATTTCACGACAATTCGAAACCCTGGTCCGCGGTTTCGGTTTCGCTTTGCAGCCCTCACAATTCCTGAATTGAAACTTTATATTGATATTTTGTATGTTATGCATTTATTGGTTCCATATTTATTTGTAGATTTCCGAATTAAAATTAATTTATCCATTTTTACCCTAAAAATGTCTCATAATTTTTCTCTTCGTCATATCGCCGGGCAATGCGAACAAGTTGCTCGCCTGCTACACCTACAATTCAGTTTCGGCTAGGCCGTCGCCACGTGTGGTGTGTACGTCAGTTGCTGCCGCTTTTGACCCGCTGCAGACCTCGTAAGTCAAAGGCTGGTCCCAGACTGTCAGGAATTCATTCGTTAATGTCAAGAAATTTTCTTAATTGTGTTATGGTTTATTCTGGCGATGAATAGCATAGATGGAATTCAACCAAATAAATGACGTATTAGAATTTTATATCTTCTTTTTGAAAGGGTTCCAAATGGTAAAGAATTTTTGTTTTTATTTTTTTATCTTTTATTATGTTGCAACTAATGTCAGTTTGCTTACAAACAACTTTAGTGAACTTGAGAGATGTTATTGTTTAAATAAAGTTAATTTCAATAGAGATTTTTTTGTAAATACAACTACAAAAATGCCATTTAGCTTCTAATTGGACATTTCTTTTGCAGATTACTTTGCATCAATAAATATATTATATTATGATCCGTACATATGACCGCATATGAAAATATAATTTTAATCAGCTTGATTTATTTATAACGTCGTTTCTAACATCGAAATGTTTTTAAATATATGACGTTCCTAACGTCAACTCGAACTTGTAAAGAAAGATGACGTTGTATATATAGACTTAGTCCAGGGATTGAAAGACGCCCACTGACGCCTCAATACACTTATTATTCACGGCTGATATACAGTTAGGAAAATTTATTTCGCTTCTTCAATTTAATGTTGTTCAGGAAAGGCTATTCAGGCTACGTTGTTCAGGAAAGAATTCTCATTATTTCAACATAGGAAAATGAATTAAATGGCTTAGTTATGGATCGAACAAATGGAATGCTATTAAAGTTCATCTTGACTGCTTTAAATAAATTCAACGTTCAAAATATGAGTTAACAATTTTTTATTCAAAATATGAGTTAACAATTTTTTATCCCCATTCTCTCTGTCTCCTCGTCCAGCTGATTTCATTTTTTTTATCGACCCCAGTCAGTTTAGAAGAGTAGAGTCGGTAACGCTTCGTCCAAATGACGCTCCCTGAGGCGTGAGACAGAGCCACTTAACGCCCACCAAGAGCCCGGGTGTTATGGTTATGATGGTGGTGGTGGTTGTGATGGTGGTGGGGGTTATGATGGTGCTGGTTGTGATGGTGGTGGTTGTGGTTATGATGGTGGTGGTGGTTATGGTGGTGGTGGTGGTTATGATGGTGGTGGTGGTTATGATGGTGGTTGTGGTTATGATGGTGGTGGTGGTTATGATGGTGGTGGTGGTTATGATGGTGGTGGTGGCTACGAGTGGTAATGATCTGCACTTAGATGACAATCGTGCGTGTATGTTAGATGAGACAATAATCAAGATGACGAAACATAGGAAGTTATGATGCGGACAATCTGGTAAAGATTGAGTCATTAGATGCCCATAGGATATTCTCTAGATGGCACGAGGTGAAGATTTAGAACTTTTTAGAAGTACGACGCCAAAACGCAAAAATAGGTTAAACTATTCAAGTTCAAGGTACAGTATATTGTTTACTCAGGTACCGTGCTGGAATTTCTGCGCACGTTATCAATATTCACAATTATTTTTTAAACCGAAAAGCCTTTTTTAGAAGTACCTTCACTTGACATAAGCAGGCAAGTTGCCACGTTCAGCACAATTAAGGATCATATCATTATCATCAAATTGCAACATCATGCCCAAATGTAGCTCTCAGTGGCTACCAACTTCTGCCAATGCCCGAACTTTGCATGAAGATGATGCCGTGCTCACACGTTTCTACAGTCGTGTGCAGGCAACCATCGCAAAGCTCGAACGATCGTCAGAGACGTTCGAAAGGCATTTTGGATGCAAGAGAAAATTTCTTAGAGATATTTTGCAGAAGTTGGGCAGCATCCAGATTTCTTATACGATGTTTTATCTCAATTTCGACCCACATTCAAGAAGACAGATGATATGACTTTTCAGTACAAGTAAGAATATTATGTTTCAACAAGCTAAATGCATTTTTTCCCGTACTAGATAAGAAATATTCTTTGACTTTTGTTGGAAAGGAACATGAAGTTTGAAGCGATAACTTTATTCTGAAGAGCCGTCTCATATATTGAAAAAGTTTCGTTTATATCTTCGCAGGCCAACGGTTGCCCCCATTTCGACGTTGGCTGAATTCCTACAGCTACCAGATCGTTCACACCTGCAGTTCAGCGCTCTCGTTGTGCTATTGAGTTCATTAGTCGATTGCTCTAACGAATTAAACGCTTAAATTTATCCCTTTAATTCGCTAACTCTACACCCACCATCGAACTACATTGCATTCACTTAGAATAAAGTCGACATTAACTGCCGAAGTCGTGATCAACTTTCATTCAGGATCAGTAAATAAACTACGGCCTTTCTTCTCAATTGCGCTGCTACATTCAACAAAGAAGCCTTGAAAATTTCATCTAAGGAAAATTTTTGTTCGGTCGCTTCTCTTTTGATCTAAAGCTCAGTGCAGTACATCATCCATTGTGACCATGTTCATGTAAAAATTACATGTAAACGTTTTTTACTCCACTACAACCAAGCACAAACAAAACAGAAACATCTGACATAAATTCACTCTTTCTGAGCACATTGCTGCCGGGTTGCAGTTACGCAGGAAAAAATATAAAACTTCAACAAATCCAAAAATTTAATACAATCTAAGAGTTCCAGCCGCCAGTATTACGTCTCTTTGTGAGTGCGCTCCTCAAGACACCGCCAAGATTTCATTCTCAAACTTCAGAGCGTCTTTTAGTAGCAATGTTAACTATCTTAAGAAGAGGTGAGTTTTGATTAATACGTTCTTAGCTGTATTAAAGTTTCTGAAGTTTTTCATTTAAAGATTTAATATTTTCATTAGAGGCCATAAAATGCTTGCGATTAATGATTCTCTTGTTCGTTTTTCTTCTTGTATTGATGATCGTTTTTTGTATTGTTATTATAAATTTTAGGTTTTGCAAAATCTTCATTCCTTGGTAAAGAATAATTCATATTCGATTTGTTGTTGCATATCAAGATGCCTTTCGTTAATCCAATTTACGATCTGTCAACGCCGCCAGCAAGGACAATTACTAGACTCATTAAAAAACGAATGAGAAAATTATTCATAAAAGTATTCTTTGGTCTTGTATATCAAACTTTATAAAACTACAACTTTTGTCTTCTGATACGATTATAGATGAAAGTAAACCATCCTGAATTTATGAAGTAGAAATTATAGCTTCAGTCACGACAAGTCATAATGATGAGCTACTATGAGACTTCAAATTTAAGCTGCACGAACAATATTATAATAGGCGATAAACGAATAAAATTCATTATTAGATTCAATTAATAAATCTTTCTTGAGCTAACAAATTTTTCAGTTTTCGAATTGGGTTTCTTAAATCTTGTATGTGATTCCAACTACATAGATTTGTACTAATACCAACTATTATATTGGCCCATGTCATATGTAAAAAAGGTGAAGTTAACGAATTTTTAATGTTAATTTTATGAATTTACTTGAATAATTTTTAATCGCAGCGCCCGACGGTTCTCGTCCGGCGACTTGTCCGATTTTGACGACGACGGAGAGGCGAATATTCGCAAGCAGGAGGTCATCACCCAACAGGTAATTATTATTTATTAAACATTCATGAAGGTTATTAGTTATATAGAATATCTATCGTATAATAGTATTATTTGTTATTCTAAATCACTTGGATCAGCATGTTTCTAGTTGTAAACACTATAAGAAGACTATATCTAAAATGTCTCTGTTTAGGCTCTTATTCCAGAAATAATTTCTTTTCGCAACATTGTATCTAATTTCATATGTGTGCATCCTAAAGCAGTTTCTTAAACTATTGAACACTATTGAACACTATTTGAAAGTGTTCAGTAGTGTTCAGAAACTTCTGCTTATGGTTCAAATATTACGGTATTATACTTGCTTTAACGTCTCCAATTGCTGATGGCTCAAACATTACCGGTAATCTCCATGCATAATAACACAACATGCGTTGCTGATTGAATTGCATCGACGCATTTGCGTCTCGCTGAGCCTTTCCCGCGCGAGTTGCTCAGCGGGTTTTTATTAGATCCAATTTAGCTTATTCATCCTTAAATCCTCAATAAGATCCCGCTGAGTGTCGAGGGATGACGCTGGAATTCATAAGCTGATTGAAAGCTTGCCATAAAAGTACAGAATAATACAGTTTACTGAAAAACATCGGAACTAAGCATTTTACAGAACCTCAGCCATTGTCGGGCGATGCCTTGCAATATAGTTCATTTTACTTCGGTAATTCTACCACCAGAAATAATTCACAATCGTTATTTGAGAAAATCATCATACCGCATTTCAATTTTTTAGCTTATGCTAGATTCTCTTTGTTCAAGCTTGGAACGTTGCATTTTTTCTTAAGATAATAAAGGAATTTTTCATGAAAATTCTCTCATACGTAATGGTGCTTAAGGGGCATGTTGAAATTCACTGCTGTAGCCGTTATGTTATGCGGTTTATAGTTTCAAGAGTTATGAGTTGTCTATTGAGTGCTATACATAGGCCGTGCGTTTGTTATACTACAATTATTTTCTCAGTCAAAATCCATTTTTTACTAAAAAATACAATTTGGTATTTTATTCTGAGCTCATTCAGTTCTCATATTAATACTAAAGCACGAGTCTCCGAGAATGCAATGCTATAATTCCTTTGCAATTTAATTAATACATCGAAAGATCAGCCTGTCTTGGGCCAAGTGAGATTTGTAGCTAGCAGCTAGGCCTCTGGTCTCGGCAATATCGTGGTACTGTCGCGAACATTGTGCACCAGATGATGAAATTAAACATGTTTATCTATCTGCTGCTTAATTAGTCGAGATTGATTGAATGTGGCCGTGTATTGTCCTTACGAAGAAATGTAAACAATTTCGATATTTATTAATAACCTTAAAAAATTATTACTTAATTGAACAATTTCTACAGGCACTTCCGAACAAATTTCACTCAGATATAAAATAAAGTGTCCACAATAAAAGAATATAAGCTAACAACTATATAAAAATGTGATTTTTGTCCTTAGTTTATAGAAAAATAAACTAGTTAATGGTGGAAGGCATTCCAAATCATCAGTATAATATAGCACGAACAAATCAAAGCACGTTAATGTTGATTAAAAAAATGTCATATGACCGTGTGTGGCTTCAATCTCTTGGTTGTGTACACCAACTAATTATATACTCTAAGTTTGTTCGCATTATTGATGAATTGGAATTGAAGCATTAACCCTTTTCATGAATGTATTAATTTAACAATCAAATTTCAAAAAATAAAACAATCAGTTTTTAAGCAGGTTTAAATGTCTATCCATATTTTACATAATGTAACAATTCTGAACGCCTGAAAAAAATTACGAGCACTGCAATGCGCTACTCTGTTTAAATTTTTTAAGAAATTTCTGCAGTAACAAAAGTCGTAAAATAAACTTCAAGCTTGAATGTTTTGCTGTGATAATCAAATGCCGCTGTTACATAAGGAGGTAAGAGTGACGCAAAAGGCCTCATTAGTGCGATAAGTGACAAACACTCGCTCGCTGACAAATTAGGGTGAAACTGAGTCCCTCATTTGTTTAGAATGCAAATTATAACACTGTGAGGTCTTTGCGAGGTCTTTATTGAAAAATTCATATATTATTTGAATTTAGAAAATATTTTCTACTCATTAATACATACTTTTTTTATCATTCAATGTGCTCAGGATTGAGGTCGTGATGTTTTTAACGAGCATGCGTTTCTCTTAAACCCTAAATCACTTGCTGTTTCAGGAAGTTTAAAACGCGAAAGATTTTTTGTTGTCTGGAGATTCCTCACGATTTCATGCAATCAAGTTTTCTGGCAATTTTAATGGAATGGGCCATCAGATTTCCCAGCGTTCCGTCACGTCCACGCGTATTTTCAGTTCACTTGTGCCCCTGTTTGACTTTTCAAATGTTATCATTAATATACCATAGCATTATTTGGAGTTACTGATAATCGATGATAAAGCTCATGTTACCTAATTCCTTAAAATTTCGTCCTTGCTTACTTAGATTTTTGATTTGATATAGGCAAGTTTAAATAAGAAAGTAAATAATTATTTGCCTCGTGATTCACGATATCATAATTTCTCTTGAGAATCAAACTCCATGGCTTTGTCCCTAATAGCTACGCAAGTTAGGCGCATATTACAGTCGAAAATTTAAATAAAATTGATTATTGTTGACGAATTTAGTTTATTACTTACAACATAATGCTTACGGGGCTATTATATTTTGAAACTTGCACGTTGTTACTAATTCTTGTGTTATATTAAGTAATTCAATGATTGAATAATTAATTAAAATACTCTAATCCAATCCTTCAATCATAGCATATATTGTGCGATGAAATGCCACTGCGGGCAAATCTAATTCACCCATAAATTGCTTTTGTTTCCATTGCGCAGTTGCAAGTGCATTCACCTACGCTGATATGCAGATCGAATGAACATTGAATGAAGCTTTGGACAAAGTCTAACACAGAGAATTATTACTATGTTTTGTGAGGAAATCTTCACAAAGTAATGTAATAAATTTATACGAAATTCTGTTACCGATAGATTGCATGAGGGTTTTAACAAGGATATGGACGTACCTAAGACTTTTTTCAATCATTATTGAAAATAACATTAGATCCAAAGATGCTATCAATTATGAAACTGTTATTGCACAGGAAAAGTAAGTTGTATTCCTTCAGGCGCCTGCTGGTTCGAATAATCTATCCAGTTTATGCCTGGAATGATTACTCGCATATTCTAAGGAACTAAGAGGACTGGCACGCTCATATTTATTTATACATGATATCCTGAACTCAAAAACATATTACCATTGAGCATCTATTATCAGTGATTCTAACATATTATTAATAGGTGAACAAACACATGATGCTTCAATGATGATTCATTTGCGTATAAGATTAGTATTTAAGACTAAAAATTGTGTTTATCAAAAGAAACTTAGACGCATGTACGGCTGATTGTAGAATTTGCCGTTTCTCGAGCATTAAGATTGACGTGTGTAACTCACGAATTTAAAGTGAAATAATCTCGAGTTTTATTTTGCTTCTTCTCACCCCTTCTCTTCTTCTTCTTTCTCTTCTTGTCATCAGGTCGGCGCTCGAAAGGTGAGAAAATCTCGATATTATATTTTTTTGCTTTGTTTTCTTGAACCTTATTCTTCTTATTTTCAAACTTCGGAACCTATCCTCAAGTCTTGTACTTAATTTCCAAAAAAAATTTTTGTCACATATCAAACAAAATTGTATTAGCTGGCAAGGCTACATTAATAATTCTAAAAATGTCTATAAGCATCCTTGAACTAACTTTCCTATAGTAAGAAAAAGATGAAGGCACGGGTCATAGCTACTTCAATCGTTTCTTCCCGCAAATAATGTGACGAGCATTTAATGGTTAACCAAATAAAAATCATTGTCTTAGCCACCAATAGGGTGGAACAGTTTTTTTAGCTTAATTTGAAGCTTGAAATTTGTGTCATTCATGAACTTGGATTTGAGAATGCGAAAATAGCGTCAAAATATACGGTATATACAGGGAATCTTAAATCTTTTGATGATATAAGATTCGGTAGATGTTTGGCCTGCCAGAAGTACTTCTTGTATACGAGATAAAATAGATAAAATCCTTAGCTCGCATTCTGTAATCTTAGCTCCGACATTTGTAGTTACGTGTTGGAGTAGGTGTGCGTAGCCGTTGATGCATGAAACGCATGAAACATGTAAAGAAACAACTAATGGACCTGAAACAACTTTACATGATAGAAAATCGTCATAGAAACATACTCATGAACCTGAGCTATAAAAACTATTGATACAAATGCATGATTTGTATGGGGTTAAACTTTCGCAACTTCAAATGAATTTTCAGGTCAATGATCACGTAGCGAATAATATTAATGTAGATAGTTATTAAGAAAAGGTCGAGAGGTTTTCCATTTTCTATCGGACATATAATTGAAAATGTGTTCGAATTCACAAACTAGATTATAAAATAAACGTATTTCCATTCATCGTCGTTCACACAATAATAGTAACCGGCGTTCGTTGTGTAGGTGAGCAACAGCAGCAGCGTTTCTGGCATCGGATCCACGGCATCAACACCAGGCAGCAGTCAACCGGCGAGCAGCAGTAGAGCCGCCCCTATTGCTGGCCCCAGCGGCGCGTCCCTCGGGGGTGCAGGAAGCAACTCTGCCATGAACACCGTCGGGACGCCGTCCTCTTCCAGCGGCTTCGGCAGCGCGGCAGACAGCACCAGCGGAGGGAGCGGCCCCAGCGTCGGGGGATTTAGTCTGAACTTCTCGAGGCCAGGTTCACGTACAACTTCTGCCCCTACCTCACCCTCCAAAACTAGGGAGAGCTTTTTACAGGTACTTACTCTACTACTTTACTACTTACTCTACTACTTACTCTTACTCTACTTTTACAGGTACTGTACTTACTCGCGTACAGTTGTTTTGGCACTGATTTTGTTACTTCACGAAATGTGAGGAATCAAATGCTAAGCGAGCAAGAAATGATATACACATTTTACATATTGTGATTTCAAGGTTGCAGGATTTCCGCTTTTAATTGTCTAATCAACTATTTAGATTAAGTCAAGTTAGAATTACGTTCTGGAATAATATTTCTCCAATATTCTTTCTTTCAAGAACTCGAACGAAGAATTGACGTGAAAGAAGAATTGAACTCTTATTTTGCAAAATTACTAGGCAGTAATAAAAGAATTTTCACAGTTCCTTGAACCTGACCTTATTTTAAAAATGTAACTCTGTACTCACTGCAGTGAGTGACAGAGAGCGCATTTCCTCGTCGACGAAAACATGAAATCACGGACAGACGGACAGACAAACAGACGGACGGACGGACATGACGAGCACAATAGCGCCTTTTTCTCCATAAATGAGAAAATTCGCTAAAAAGTAAGAATTCTAATGGATGTTCTGTACAACTGGTAGCGGGTCTCATCTCTGACGGGGGCGGTGAGGGGTGAAGTGACGCAGCAAAAGCCAGCCTACAACAAGGACCGCTGCCTCAACCTGCTCGTCATAGACGATCAGAACACCGACTGGTAACTCTCTACATCTTATTTATTACTACATTTCGTTATTATTTAATTTATTACTACATGTTATTTATTACTACAGTTTAATTAGGTATTATATCCTAATACGAAACTCAACCCTTAGTGCCTTAGTTAACTTTTTTTTAATTCAGTGGAAGTATGAATAACGTTGTAGAAACAGCGCCTGTTGGTTTTTTGGGGGAAATTACAGGTCTTTTGTTATATCATTATTCACATAAAACGTATAGTCTCAAATTTAATTTTATCCTTAGCAGAGATTTCATAACTTCATAACTTTTTTTCCTCAAATAAATATACGAAACCTTCAGCGATGGGTTCAAATGTATTCAAAATTCCGCAGAAATTGCCATGTTGCGGTAGTCGTATATTCAAATGTTCCTGCGAAGACAAAACTATACATAATATGAATTCTTCATGCTACGTCTCTCTGTGTGACTCGAGCTCACTAAATTACTCATGCAGGTTCAGTTCATATAAAAGCACTAAGTTTTCACACAGATATTTTATGAGCGAGTATGTACAATGTGAGGTGTAGTCCTTTACAGTTAGAATATAAAACATGAATGAATAAATGACAAAATGTATGCAAAACCTAAAGTGCGGAAAGCTCTAAAGTAAAATGGAAAGATTTTATTACGAAAAAAATTATAATTACTGATTTGTTTAAATTGAAATTCTTCCCTAACAATCATCCTAAAAATTATTTCCAAATAGCGTACAAAATGCCATTTTTCACTCGTTCACGTCAAATTCAGTATCATTGACATCAAAATTTGCCTTTTCACTTGCTCAGGTCGAAATATTTCCGCGGTAAAAAGATCCACGGCGACTGGGACATCCGCGTGGAGCAAAGCGAGTTCCGCGAGCTGAGCGTGAGCGCCGCCTCTGACGGTGGCGCTCTCGTGGCAATCGGCAGGAATGGAGGCAAAGTTATCCGGTGAGAATATCCAACGTGAAATATGATTTCCGGTTTATGTCTTTTAAGAAAATTTTGCGATTCGATGTTTAATTTAAATACCGTGAAACAAGATTTCCAATTTATGTCTTTTAAGAAAATTTTGCGATTCGATGTTTAATTTAAATACCGTGAAACAAGATTTCCGGTTTATGTCTTTTAAGAAAATTTTGCGATTCGATGTTTAATTTAAATACCGTGAAATAAGATTTCCGGTTTATGTCTTCAAAGAAAATTTTGCGATTCGATGTTTAATTTAAATACCGTGAAACAATATTTCCGATTTATGTCTTCAAATAAAATTTTGCTATTCGATGTTTAATTTGAGTATATTGTGTTTCGAAATGGTATACGATTTATTTGCTAACTAGTCAGAACATTTCTTCAGCTGAATTCTATCGCTGAGTGTGTGTACGTTGTGCGATTACTAGTTTGATGGGAATTAGTTTATTGGTACTGCGATTATTTTAACATTGTTTTTATTTGCTGGAAATTTGGGCTAACAAGATTTACACAAAAGAGATAGGTAGACGGGGAAATTGTGAATTTAAAAAAATTTGAGATTTTTGGACACGAGGAGCTCTAAATAAAGATATTTATGTTTTCACCAATCATATCATAAATGTTTTTTTCTGTATTCAGGTCGTTCCGACCAGACTTCGTATTTATCCGACAAAACATGCGCGACGCTGGAGAAGATTATAAGAAAATTCTTCTTGCCCTTAAATTCGGTGGAGTGCCATCAATTAACTCCATTCAGGCGATCTACAACTTTCAGGTAAGTCATCTATTTGCACCACCATGTCTCGATTGAATGTCTTTGTCATATGATAAATTGTGCTCATTTAATTATCTTTTTCTCAAGTCGTCAAATCCTAGCCATAAAGTAAGCAGTCCGTAATGAAGGAATCACTGTTTTATTCGATTGTAAACCACGTCACCATGTTGATAAAAAGTTCATACTTTGGATTGAGTGATTTTTTTATGTAAGAAATTTAACACAGTATTTTTTTAGAATTTACGGTAACTTATTGAGATTAGATTAAATTTTACATTTTCGCAGGATAAGCCTTGGGTTTTCGCTCATCTCTTGGAGATTCAAAAGCGACTGGGCAAGGAGCGGTTTCCTCTCATCGAACAAAACTACTACCCAAGCCATCGAGAAATGGTCAGTTGCATGTTACAAATCTTGGCTGGCTCGTCGCAGTTCAGCCCATGGTTATCACACCAACAAGCCTCACGATGTTGCACCGAATTGACTTTAGCTCGAATTTGGTGTTAGAAAATTTGAATTTTCTTCAAATTGAGTTTAGCAATATTCGGCGGTTATGATGTGCATTCTTCGCCCAACAATGCAAGTAAAGATAATTTTAAGCGTAGAATTGCTGACATATTACTAATTATTCTTCGTAAAATTATATTAGTATTTAGTGGAATACTTCTGATGGCAATGATTTTTTTTTTTGCAGGTGTCGGCTGCTCGGTATCCGTGTGTGTTCAAGATCGGTCACGCACACGGAGGGCTGGGGAAAGTGCGGGTAGAAAGCAATGCGGACTTCCAAGACATGGCTTCAGTGGTGGCCGTAGCCAACACGTACGCCACCACCGAGCCATACATCGACTCCAAATTTGACATTCATGTTCAGAAAATTGGAGGCAGTTATAAATGCTTCCAGTGAGTTTGCTAAAGTGGCTTTTTAATTTTTTTCAATTTCTTATCAATATTCCTAACAAATCAAAGCTAACACTGCAACATTGTACACTGAACATTATATTCGATAAATTATGGATATTCATTTCGGGGATAATATATATTCATATAAATTTCAGGCGGAAATCTATATCCGGAAACTGGAAAACCAACACCGGTTCTGCCATGCTCGAACAAATCGCGATGACCGAGCGCTACAAGCTCTGGGTAGACGAGGTACGTACGACGATGTTAATTGAGCAGCTCAATGATCACTACCACGTCCTGAACAAACAATCAACAATGCAATCATAGTTTAGGAACTGCATTTCATTTGACTTGTGAATAAATAAGAATACCAAATAAACACAGGAGAGTTTACACGCAAAGAAATGAGTGAGACTTTGTCCAAATAGAAATGTACTTTTTTCGCTCGTGTGGGCAATTCCGACCCAGTTCAGCCTGACAGAAGAGCGTATCAGTGCTCCGTCTGCTCTCTGCTCCAGCTGTGGGTGTGAAAATGTTTCACTATTTGGACAATATGACCCGTTGAATTTTCTTATAGCAGATACTTTTTTCACTCTATATTGATCCTAAGTAAGCCTAATTATATTATATGTATAACTAGGCTTACTAGGCAGGGTGGCCCAGTGGTTAAAGTTCAGAGTACCAAGATTGGCGCAGAGAGGCGCGGGTTCGATCCCAGCTCTGTACGCCAGTTTCTGGTCAGAATCGGCAAGGAGGCCGGGCGGTTAAGCACAGCAAAAATTGAAGCAGTGAGTTGTGAGTTCTAGACCGCAACAAGCTGTGGATGTTCTGCGATGTTAAGAATCGGCGACAGGCCTATGGCCTAATAAACGCTGAAACAGCTATTATTATTATTATTATTATTATTATTATTATTATTATTATATAGTAGTGATTGAATGAGCAGGTGTCACTGCTGTTCGGAGGCCTAGCCATCTGCGCCATAGAAGCGATCGTGGACAAGAGCGGCAAGGAGCACATCATCGAAGTGAACGACTGCGCCTTGCCCCTCATGGGCGACACGCAGGAGGACGATAGGCGGTACATGGCAGAACTGGTGGCTACGAAAATGCAGGTGATGCCCGCTAGATAAACCGTATTATGAGGTGGAACCGCTTGGTAGAACAGGAATTTAGAGGTTGAACCGATTGATAGAACAGTAATTTAGAGGTTGAACCGATTGATAGAATAGGAATTTAGAGGTTGAACCGATCGGTACCACAGTAATTTAGAGGTTGAACAGTTCTGTAGAACCTTAATATAAAGGTAGAACCGCTCGGTAGAACAGTTATTTAGGAGTAGATCCATAATATAGAACAGTAATTAAGAAGTAGATCCGTTCAGTAGAACCGTTCAGTAGAACCGTTCAGTAAAACCGTAATTTAGCTGCAGAAGCGCTAGGTAGAACAATAATATAGAAGTAGAACCTGTAGAACAGTAATTTAGAAGTAGAACCGATTGGTAGAACCGTGAGGACGAGGTCAATGATTATTTTAACACTCGTCAGACCGCATTATTTTAATACGTAGCAGTTGTATATGTATGCAATGCGACAAGAGTTCAAGGCAAAATATACTGTTTGTGTTCTTATTCAAGAAAATTGTTTTCACTCCTCAAGAATCTAATCTTTGCTTGGTTAATATTTTCTAGTTGAAAGTTTCATCCCAAAAAGTATTCTATTGGTTTTACAGTCGTATAAAACCAAGAGAGTGTAAAATTTTCTCACCAATGAATGTAATTATTTTGCCAACACGAGTATGACACAGCACACCGTACACATTCTTTTTTCACACATAAGCTGTGCCTGCCGTATGATTAAATGTTAGTAGCGACATACGCAACGCAGTTTGTCATACCTATTTTTTGCTTCAAAGCTAGTCAAAATATTAGAATAAATTGCGCTATTTTATTTTCAAAATTCTCTTTGTTGAACGGGAGTTCTTACTGAATAAAGAAAATTACAGCCTCGCTCGCATTCTTATTCAATTTCTTATATTTTTTTGATCATTTATGTTAATCATCACAAAATAGCAGGGATTAGAACAATAATTCTTATATTCAGTCAAGCACACGTACATCCACCGACATTCAGCGAGGGTCTTCACGAAGTAGCATGGGAGTGTCGTCCACTTCTGGTGCTCCTCCAACGGGTGAAGTGAAGGCTCCGCCACCCAAACCACCTCCACCGGTCACCACCCAGATGTCCATGGGTGCCGTGTCACCCACGGAGGACTCGAGTGCACGACTCAGCACGACCGAACCCACGTCTTCAACCACCCAAGGAGGTTCACCCAACGCCCAAAGAAGAGACTCGCAAGGTAACCTTTAGTAATAGTGTTAATAGTGAAATACCACTAGTAATAATATCACTAGACTGATTGAAATTTCTAGTGAAATACAACGTAATAAAACTACAAGAAATAATACAATTGTTGTAATCAAATTGGCGGGGCTAAGCATTGGTAGTGAAATTAGCAAGAAACGATGAGAGACAACGATACCGTTGCAGGATTTAGTGGCATATATACTAGTTATTCGTTTCAGTGCCTCGATTATGCTATTTCATTACAACACTAAAAATTTATTATAGCGAATCATTCAAATTACTTTCATCATCTCAGTCTATTAAACGAGATTAATATCTTAGATTTTCATTTATGCCTTAAGCTACAGATCTTGCTGCATTATATCAGTCAAGAAGTATTGTTTATTTTTAATCCCTTACCGTAGAACTGTACACATTCTCACATAGTGCAAGATCTAAGTCAAGACACAGTGTTTATTATTCATTTATTTCCATCAAACTTTTATTATTCCTTCCCGTTTGCAGCATCTCAGTCGAGTAGCATGAGCGGCTTCAGCAGCGCCAGCAGCGCTAGGAGACCGGAAGACCAGCAGAGTCAGCCAGTCAAGACCGGTCACTTCGGCAGACAGACTTCAGCGACGAACGAGAACCCGGACGACACAGAAGATACCATGAAGAATCTACGCAAGACTTTTGCCGGTATTTTCGGTGACATGTAGACGAAGGGACATTGGTTTTTAAATTAACTCATCACGTTGGTCATCCGAAAAAGTTTTTTTTTTACTTTTTCCACTCGTACGCTCAAATCGTAATTAGTTTGACGGATTTTATGGAAAGTTTTATCGGGAAGTAATAATCATTTTGTTACTCAGTTTGATTATCGTCACCGCAAGTAAGCATGGTTTATCTTCAGCTGGAATAAATGAGGAAAATTCCGGAAAAATTCTAAAATTAATCGTAGATCTCAGCATTATTTTAATTAAATGACTTGCACAATAAGATATATTACATGGAGAAGTGATGAATATTCAAGATATCATTTTAATAAAATCATTATTATAAATTCAATAACAGTTTTAAAATAAATTTCGAGGCCACCACAAGTAATAAGCAGTTTATCTCTGCAAGCAAAGATGCAAATCCCTTATCTGAACGAAGAGGGAAACATAATCCCAGTGGCTTTCACATAATGTTAAGTATTGAATTCTCGTGAAATATCTCCATCCCTCCATAACTTTACCATTAGTAGACGGAATATTTTACCCTTTACCTTCAAAGTATGGACTGCTCGTTGCGGTGCTGCTCCCTTGACTACAAACTGCCAGCAATACCGATTTTTTACCGGATATACTTTTTCTGATCTCAATGAAAGCTAACTACATTATTGACATAAAGAGTTATTTGAAAGAATAAATTTAACCATTGTAATGATTCAAGAAGAAAAGAAAAAGAAAAATTTAGGAAAATTCAAGTTGGCAGTTCTTAAATTCAAAGAAAATTTAAGTACTACCAACAATATGTCCACCTGTACTAAAAACATAATTCGCTTTATATCAGATCAGTTCGATTGTATCATTGATTCGTTTATATCGTTTATATCAGTTCGATCGTATCATTGATTTTTCTTTGTCGAGCTAAAAGGGGTAAAATTTTGAGGTAAAGAAAACTCAATTTCCGAGTTAATGAAGCAGTGGAAGACCTTGACGGACGATGGTATGCGGTGAAGAACTGGCGCTAAAGTTTACGGTGGCTCAGCTCTGAAGTAAAGTTTTCAACTTGACTGGTGATAACCTAAATTTATTATTAATTTCTTTTTTTCTGACCAGAAGTACTGGAAGTGTCCCAGCTAAATTTATTGCCAACAGACTTTAACGAAATGCAACAAGGAACATATTTGACTGGAATAAAAAGAATTGTCTTTATATAAAATCGCTTTGCTGAAATATGTCTGATTTATCGTTATTGCTGCACCGCAGTTTACGCAACTATTGTGCGCTAGGTGTCGTTCACCAGTGTTTCTATTGAGATAATCTGTTCTACAGTGTTGTGGAGTTCGTCCTAGACATGATACTTCTAGTGAAACTGTGTGAGTTGTTCGTAGATGTGTAGAGCTTAGTATTAACATTGAGGGATATTTGCGAGGAGTGGACAACGCTTCTCAAGTCAATAGAGATAAAAATATAAATTACATAAATAAATATTCCTCAATAAAATTGATAGAAGGAATGATTTCTCGTTTTGTAATATTAAAAATTTAAAATATCAGTAATTTACGTAACGGACTTCCAGGTTGTTAGATAAAAGTACTTAGCTTCCTAAAATCTGTGGTACAGAGCATTTCATGTCGCAAAATTGCCAAGACATTTGGGTTCAATATTTTTAGCAGTATATTCGACGTACGTTTTATCTACTTTTCATAGAATGCCCTTTCTTACGATTTTATTTGAACTTCCGGCTTGGCGGTTCAAAGTCAGTTTCCTGAATCCAGCTTTGTAGGGAAACACTAAAATGAATCCAGCTCTAGACGCCGGCCTCTGAAACAATGCTAAAACAAATGTCCCAATACGTGTTGACTATCCTGTTTCGTCGTGAAGTATGCATTCGACTTCAGGCGTTCCAGGCTTGTTATTAGATTCTCAGTGACAACAAAAAAAACTTTGTATAGGCATACGGAAAATTTTATTCAGACTGAAATTTACTTTATCCGTTGAAATGAACTTCAGTTTTGGCAATAATTTCCTACATATCATTAAAGAAGATACATAAACGTGAACGTCATATTTGTGTTTATGCGTTCAATATTTAATCGATTAAGTCGCGGACAATGTTCACTAAAATTATAATAAACAGATTTTATATGTGTGTGTAGGAAAAAAAACATTCGTAATACACATATTTTAATTAGAAAACTCGATAATATTCAGCAATTTGTTTTGTGTGCTTTAAATGTGGCGCCATTTTATTTTTAATTTATGTATCAATTACCTCGAAAAAGACCAAAAATGCCGAGTTAAGAGTTATAGTTCTTTAAGAGTTATAGTTTTTAAAGCAGAGTAGTTTGGTTCGGACGATAAGTTCTATGCAGATCTGGATATTTTCAGCTTAAATTTCGCCAGAATAACACGTGAAAAATGCCATTCCATTTTTATAAGTTTTATTATTTTTAAATGAATAACGTATGACGAATTTGTCACGTATTTCTCATGAATACAGTGTAACGAATCCCTTTCCGTCGGTAATTATATATAATCCGCGTCAACTTAAAAATCAATCCCACTTCTACAGACCTGTTTCGGATCAGGTAGATAAAGTTTAGGGATTTTATTAGTGATTACAAAAGATAGTTGTAGGCGAACCTAACATCGCTGAGCGTCGGTTCTACTAATTAGACAGCGGGAGCTGACACTGATCCGTGAGTTATAGGACGCTGAGGCTGCCTTCAAACAGTGGTTTATTGATGTTGTTTGTTGATGCTCTCAGTTTAGCTTGTGCATGTTAACTCAAGCGCAAAGTCTCGAGAAATAGTTTAGAAATAATTGATGATTATTATCTGTGAAAATTTTCTCTTTATTATTTTGAGATCATATCGCATTAGATTTGCATGAGTGTCGTCGGCGCCCTGCCATCATTCGACTGATGCCTGCTTCATGATCATCGTTCGGACTAAACGGCATCACATTTGACAGCATTTAATCGATGTGAATATTTATTAACCAAATTAATAATTAGCTCTAAGATTTCTCGTATTTTGTACGTACCCGTGAAGATTGCATCGATGTGTGTGAAACGTTCACAATAATATCTCCGCTAAAGTTGTTTGAACTGCGTGTTTGTTCGTCCAGTGTGCTATGTGATTAACTCATCAAGTCTAAAGTAAAATAATAAAATAGTTTCGGGGCATGGATGGGAGTCAGCACTCGTTCCATCTAGTGTCAGCTCTTGACTTTTAATTTGCTTGTCCTACAACATTATATCCTCCACTTTAGCGACTTTCATGTCCACTGCATTTCAAAGGTACCAGACGACATTTAAGATCGCGAAATGAAAGTTTGGTCTTACTCACTCTTACTCAAGATCTATAGCAGTGTGGTTCTTATTTTAGCCATTTTCTGCCTTGATTAGACAGTAAATCAACTACGAAACTACAATATTTTACATAATATGTGACAAAATCTTTTTTTTTTTAACGAAAATATATGTAAGCAAGGACGTTCTGCCAGTTGCAACATCTGTATGGTGTTGCAAAAGTTTAACTAATTTTAGCTTCTCCAATAAACATGAACTTTCAGAAATATTTCTCTCCATCCTAGACAACTTCATTCATGTCCATCAAGTTCTTCAGCCTGCAGGCATAAATAAAAAGCATGAATGTTGTCACAGTGAAGCTCCGTCTCATTAGTTTCATTGACCCTTTCAAAAAAGAGATTTAGATCCTCAGTTTAGGCATTCTCATTTCGTAACTGTACAGCAACCGCGTTCCTATACACGAATAATTTACCATATTTAAAAATGAGATAGTTCTATCAATTAATTGTAAAACAAAAATTTTTAGCAGGTACGTTCTTCATTTCAAACTAGTGAATTTTTGACACAAAACTAATCTACGATGCTGACCTATATGAGCTGCTGAACGGTTTTAATATATTTTTTTATAATAATAAAACATAAATTATGCAGCAAGTTAACCTCAAAATTTAGGGCTTTAAACGTAAATAAAAACAAAATAATTTTTATATCAGAGATATAATTAACGATTCTGTCTTAATCTTCATAATATGGCCTTTGAACTGAATTCATTTTGTTCAGCCTTGATCAAAATCAGATTCAATATTGATCTTTGAAATGTATATCGATCATATTACTAGATTTACCTAGATTTATATGGGACGCTCTCCGCGCATGGAAGCCTCCCAACCTAAAATAATTGGATGTTAAGTGACCGCTGATGTCTGCCTACGTAATGTAAGCCAGTGGTTAAAGTTCAGAGTACCAAGATTGGAGCAGAGAGGCGCGGGTTCGATCCCAGCTCTGTGCGCCAGTTTCTGGTCAGAATCGGCGAGGAGGCCGGGCGGTTAAGCTCAGCTGAATGGGAGCAGTGAGTTGTGTGTTCGAGACCGCAACAAGCTGTGAATATTCTGCGATGTTAAGAATCGGCGACAGGCCTACGGCCTAATAAACGCAGAAACCGCTATTATTATTATTATAAAGTGATACGGGTCCGGGAGCATGGCTTCCTATCGGAGTTGGAGGGAGAGCCAGGACCATATGTTGCTCTCGGGGGTATGGGAGGGGCGCAGGTATGTAATTATACAGCAAATAGGCTGAACAGAAGAGATTTGGTTGAGAAATTTATTCATGGCCTAACACAACGACGGCTTGAGAGAGTATTATATTTATGTAAAATAAACAATATCGCTTACTTTAATGCAAACCTTAAACATCTTTGGCGCTAGTGGTGATGAAAAAAAATTACCGTTCAGATTTTTTCATTGTCTCATTGTCATTGGGGGTGGAGCATGAAACTCATACATTACATACTCAGATAGATAAATGGGTTTAATTGTCCGAAAAAAAAAAATTTCTATCCTAAGAACGAGCAGAGAGCGGACTTAAAGGGATGCACTAATATGCATCCCTTTAGAAGGACCAAATCCGGTCAAAATAACTAACACAAGAGCAACAAGTTCATCGCTACTTGGAAAGTCTACTTTAACTAGGAAAAGGTCTCAATAATATCTCCAAGTACAGGAACTTCGTGTTCATGACATCTGCTGTTAAGATTAACAACGAAGGCTTTGAAGTATCAAGTCTTGGAACACAGAACTGGAGTAACCCATACACGACAGATTACCACTGTTATTTACAGCGACTACATCGGCTTTATATTAGAAGACAGTGTAAGTGGCTGCTTTATACACATAAATCCTTAATAAACTAACTGTAAAATGTAAATCTAGATTCTAGAATATTATGCAAGTTAAACCCTATGACTGAGTTGGCACGTCTATCGACACCAAGCAAGGCAAAATTTCACACTGGGAGAACAGCGTAAAACTTCGAATAGATTTAACATGAATGGAGATTTGAACATGTTACTATAATAAAAAAAATGACTACTTAACTAATAAAGTTTTCAGAGTGGCTTCTTGAAAATGAGTGAGCACTTTATGACGCTAATTATGTATAACATCTTGAAACTAATGCTTAAATAAATTCAAAATCATCTTACGTTTTGATCCTTGGAGCCGATAAATTCAGACCATAACATTAGCTATGTAGTGCAACACGTTGACATCGAGCGTTATCGTACGTACGGGTACGCACACAGTGGAAGCAGGTTTGCCAGCGCGGGCAACCTGCTCCAACCTGCCACAAGAATGAACATAGGATAATAATGTAAGTGTTCACAGTGAAAACCTGTACAAATAGGCTTCTGTATTCTATGGTTTCAGGCGCCAGCCTGAGCAGGTAACCAGCACGCTGGCAACCTGCTTTCACTGTGTGCGTAGTGCGTACCCTAATAGCTGTTGTTCGGTATAACAATAATAAAGCTCTAAAACACAATATTAACATAAATTTTATGGAGCTAAAATATAGATTTGTCTTGAACGTGAGTCAAGTTGAGTTGATATTGTGGCAACAGCATAGAAATTTTTTTACTAAACATATACTAATAATGGAAGCAGGTTTCACATTTACGCCTAAGAATATTTACTTCAACGACAAAAAAATTTAATACATATGAGACTCCATCTAGAGTAAGCTAAGAGTATTTTGACACTCGGAACGATCCATATGATCAGTTACTATGTAGGCAGGCCTTTTAAAGCTAAAGTAAATTTAAAACTATTTGCTACTCAAGGCAGCAATTATGCACCGGGGCCTTGTAAAGCTCAGTTAAAATAGAACCTATTTCCTGCTCAAGGCAGCAATTATGCACCGGGGCCTTGTAAAGCTCAAGTAAAATAGAACCTATTTCCTGTTCAAGGCAGCAATTATGCACCAGGGCATTGTAAAGCTCAATTAAAATCTAAACTATTTCCCGCTCAGGGCAGACTTAGACAAAAGGAACTAGGTAAAAATTACGTAGGTTGATTACTGGCATTTGCTGCTAAAGGATTCGAAATCTAATTTACAACACACTAATTCAAAGGTTACGTAATTAATCATACGATTAATTCGACTACAAAAAAAAAAAAACAAAGGAAAAGCTATAACAAGAATTGGAAACAATCTTAACGGAGGGGAACTGTGACGGGAGCAGGTAGAAGATGCAGAGAAAAATTTAAATAGCACCTGGAGATCTTAATAAACGTAATTAAATCTGCAATAATTTATTTCATTATTAACAACCGTTAAAATGATAGATTCCAATAAAATTTCAAGTTACACTCGACTGAAATACATCGCTCTCGCTGAGGAAGTAAACGAGTCTTTCTGACGCAATCTAGATTATTTAGGCTAAGAATCTATACACTATATTTAATATTACAATAGGTAATATTAAATATTCAACTGGTAAGAAACTATGCATTATTGAACAGAATTGACTGAAATTCATTAAATTATCACAAATACTTTGAAGAGTCAGCACTCATAACAATATCTGGCATAATGTAAATAAATCGACACACACTATTAGTTATTCTGTCTCTAAGAAACTATGTATTATTGAAGAGAATTGACTGAAATTAACTAATATCCCCAAAAATATTCAGATCAATCATCATACATAATAATATCTGGCAAAATATTAGTGGTAATATCGGGTTGAGATCAACACCTTAAATGACACCATCGTTCACCGCACCATGAGATTCTTATCAATGGACTCACGCTTAAAATTATAGTAGAAGAAATGATAACCATGACTGAAATAAGACTAAGTTAAATTAAAAATGACATAATAAGTAATAAATCAGTCAGGGATGACGAGTTAAGCAAGACCGACCGCACCATTCGGCCTAGAGTTGCTAACGTTCTTGGGTCCAATATGAAGGATGTTTGGTTTTCTAAGAACAGCTTTTGGCTCGAACGCTTCACTGGGATTCTTGTACGAGAAACTCATTCTGCTCTGCACCACACCATAATAAGACTTTCCTTTATTTGTGATGGATTTGTATCCATCTACGAATGAATCATTAGCAAGTTTTGTCAAGTGTGAGACTAAATGTTTAGATGGAGCGCTGCTGGAAATTGTATAGTCGCTGCGTTTTGGTCGTCGTGTTAAAGCAGACGACTCGTCGTGGTCGTGTAGACGAGGGTTGACGATGTAGAGCAGATAGTAGAGGAGGTACATCGTCTCTGCATCGACGTAGTGGAAGCTTATCACGTCACTGCTCATTTCAGCATAGCCCTGGAGGCAGAAATTCAAAATTATAGTTGCGATAACTTTTGCACAGGATACGCATTCAGCTGTGGTCACGCTCATTGAAAACATGACAAAAATTATGACATATAACAATGGGACAAGATTACTGTGCAACTTTACACTCGCATATCAATTCATATTTTGACTTGAGATTTGTACCAGATTTATAACATAACATAACATAACATAGTGATGTCGGCTCTGAAGTGTAGGCCTGATGTGGCCTGTCGCCGATTCTTTTCCATTTCGTGCCTTGTTCATAGATCTAAACTCGTGTCATTTGACCGGATCTTTTCATGACTGGCGATAGTTTGAAGAAGCTAGCGAGAAGAAATTTTGTCGCGTGGAGAAGTTGCAGCGCAATTTTTTTAGCTTATAGCCGTGGCCCCTGGTGTTGGTTCTTGTTTCAAATTCTAGTAACCCTTCAGGGACCTTGTATAGACCATGAGTATACTTGTATACTTCAATGAGGTCCCCACGCAGACGTCGATAACTGAGGCTTTATGTCAATTAGAACATAGCCATTTATATAACAATCAACAAATATGGTCAAATTAGCATTAATTATGATGCACCAATCAGATATGCATACAGATGAATAGTGACAGCCCATCATTCTTAGTGGCGTCTTTAGAGTCATTGATGCAGCACGCTGATGTCTTGTCTTTAACTAGTATCTATCATACAAACGTTTAATGTTTGTTAATTATTCCATCTCATCATTTTTGAAATCATTTTCTACACTCCCATGTCATAAAATTCAACATATCATATCACGAATTTAGTCAAATATCTCCACATTCTAAAGAGGAATTTATAGTTGCAATTTACGCTTTAATGTGTATGTTCATGTTAATTAATGAAGCTCTTAGTGCCCTAATTGCTCAATGTTCATTGACATGCATTGCATGCCTACTTGAAACCTTGAAGGAATACTAAAATTTTACAGGCAGCTTCATGTTGATCATCGGTACCAGTAACTAACATGATTAACAGTCACAAACTTGGCTGGGTTAACCGATTCATACGCATCTATGGGTTGGATTCAAATATTGCCTTTGTTAGCCTTTCAAGAATTAATTTCGTAATTTCATCGCAAACGTTATTCATACGGTATCTGAATAATTCATAATGACTAGAGAGTTTGTTAAGATTTATGAATATACCAATTCATCGAATTCAAGCATCTAATACAAGGTAGAAATACTTTCATCGTATCAGCATCCTATTGAATTTACTGTTACTGAATACCTCGCTACAAAAATTGCCGTTTGGAATCATATATTTTAACGTCAACCTTTTCCAACTAGTATTTTAGTTCTATAAATACAAGAGCAAATAAGTAGATACAGGTGACCAGCAGTTGTGTGATTTCTTCTTACATTTAAATTTATATGGTTCTGTACCTAAAATGTACTGTACTGTAGCAAATTTGATCTATTTAGCGAATTTTCTCATTTATGGAAAAAATGCACTATTATGCTCGCCATGTCCGTCCGTCCGTCCGTCTGTCTGTCTGTCTGTCTGTCCGTCCGTGACTTCACGTTTCGTCGACGAAAAAATGCGCTCTCTGTCACTCACTGCAGTGAGTACTGAGTTACATTTTTTAAACTGGACCCTCTCTTCCTACACTATGAAATAATCAGCAAACAAGTTTTTGAAAATATTATATTTTTCCAGTACATTTTTTACATATATTACTGTGAAATCTAGTGAGAACAAAACGGCTGCTCCGTTGACAATTTTTGAATATATATTACAGTGAAATCTTACGAGAACAAAACGGCTGACCCATTGACAATTTTTGAAGGCAATTTCCCATAATTTTTTCATAGATATTACTGCGAAATCTTGCGAGAACAAAACGGCTGATCCGTTGACAATTTTTAAGGCCTATAACTTTTTCATTTGACAATTGAATCTTTGACAATATCCCATAACTTTTTCACATATATTACTGCATGTGAAATCTTGCGAGAACAAAACGGCTGCCCAGTTGACAATTTTCAATGCAATTTCCTATAACTTTTTCACATATATCACTACGAATTCTTGCGAGAACAAAACGGCTGATCCGTTGACTTGACAATTTTTTAATGCAAGACTCACGAATTTGTAGGGGTGATAGGCGATTTTCTTGAGCCAGAGCTGGGCCCAGTCAGTGGACCTCCTCGGGTCGATCACCGTCTGCGGAGGGTATACGTTGAAGCGCTGGTGCGCCCACGCGTCGCGGGAGTCGATCAGCTTCACGCCTGCAAAGTTCATCACAATTTTCTGAGATGATAACAAGAAGGGGAGACATCTTTCTCCTTCAAATAATATTCCAATGAAGCTAATGTTCATTAATAATAATTATTCTTATAATATTGACATTCTAATAATAAATATTCGCACGGAACTCGCTGTTCGTTAACACAAACACAAAAATACAATGTATGCGTCACGATCTATTGCAAAACGTAGCAATGAACGGTACTTCAAAGTCGATAATAAATAACACTTCAGTCCATCAGCATTCGCATAAAAAATGCTTCGGATTGAAGGCTTGCAATCAAAAGCGAGTAAGTACAAACAAGAACCCAATGCATTCGGCATTACACTTCTCTGATCTTTCGATGTTACTAGCAGCAACTCTTGCGCTTACGATATTGATCTGTTTGATCGATATCTTACGTTATTTCATGCTGATTGTGGTTATTAGTTCATATGGTTGTATCAGAAGTTATAAAAGTCGTGGTTATATCAAAAGTTATTCCTAAAACATATAGAATAAAGCTGAAGAAAATTAAATAAAGAGTTTACATTTTTAATCAGATGATCGCACTGAATCCTGAGGAACAAGAGTAATTAACAATTGCACACGCAGGTCAAAAACCTTGCGCTGGACGGTTGTTGAAACAAGATGGGAGCCATGATTTTAGCAATAAGCCTCATATTAGCTGATATACTAAACACCAAACACAACGGCATGGACAGTAACAAAAATACGGTCAAACAAACATAACCGGCTAACATAAACGGCCTGCTAACATTAGGTTCTGGAATATATCTTGATGAACCAAAAGACGAAATCATTAAATTTTTTTCAAGCAGAGAAGAATTTTTTGACAAAAAACCGTGACTTAAATCGAATCGCCAATCAATCAAGCTTGGCGTTGAATGGTTCATCTTGAAATTATGTTTCTGTATCACGTCAATATAATTTCTGGATTGCAGAGTCGGTGCAAACTTTTTTTAAGAGGTTAACGTTAACTTTCGGTGATGAATATAAGAACTGATAATGAACTGTACAAAAGCGTTATTTTAACGGTATTAGAATGTTTAATTTACGACAGATAATACCAGGTCTAGTTCGGATGGAAGAGCCACAGTGTTTGGCATATACAATGAAGATTATATACTTGTAATGTAGTGAAAACCAAACGAAATTATTTTTCGTTATTATAAATAAGAACTTGTAATTAAATGAGGTCAAGATTTTATGCGCTGAGAATTGATGACCAGATTATGGAGAAATGCGTATCTTAGTAAAGGCGTGCAAATAAACTACCTAGGTACTACATAAGAAGAAAATTAAAAGAGGAAGAAATATCCGCGGAAATTATTAGATGCGTACCTATGTAAATTAGCTCGAAAAATATTTAAACATTAACTAGGCATTTCTATCTTCCATATTAATGAAAGACTGAAACGTGAATTGATGTGAGTAATCGTCTACTAAGTGAGTGAATTAAAATTCACTTACAAAAATGAATGGAACAAATTAATTACTATGCGCGATGGTCTCACCAAGAGCCCTGAAGCAGGCGGCCATGTTGAGGTCCTCGGCGGAGGTGACTGTCAGGCCCCCGTCAGCGGTGCACCGGCCCCCCGTCTGGACCGCGGCAGACACCGCACTGAGGGCTGCGCGACTCAAGGCGTAGCCTGCCCCTCCGTTGAGGTACGGCTCGTTCTGACGAACAAAAAACATTAAAAATCAACAGAGCGCAGGAAATTTCGTATGATTATGAAATTCTATGAATTGTACGAGATTTTATCCGAATGAAAATAATATTTTGTTGTTTCGTGTTTCAAGAAGAAGTAGAAAATGTAAAAAACTTTCAGAATAAAACGCCGAAAGATCATTTATACCAATCGTATAAGATATAAAACAATCAACTCAATCATTCAAAGAAATTCAAAATTATTTGATAACGGAGGTCCGTGAAAGATGTTTCAGACAAACACGCAATAATCTCGTCTTAATTTTAAGTGAACACAAAAACCGTTAAAAAAATATAACTCAGTACTCACTGCAGTGAGTGACAGAGAGCGCATTTTCTCGACGACGAAAACTTGAGGTCACGAACAGACGGACGGACAGACGGACAGACGGACAGACAGACAGACGGACATGGCGAGCACAATAGTGCATTTTTTCCATAAATGAGAAAATGCGCTAAAAACATCTGCACCGGTTTGGAGCTCTGTCTAGAATACTTATAATTGAGTGCTGTGATCCAAACATTTTCGCTCGTTAACATACTAAAACGTATGTAACAATCCTCAAAAATTATGATGACTTCGATAATTCATCAGCCGATCAATTTTGAAGCTTGCAAATGTCGCAGTGACAGAACTCGTAACTTTAAAATTGGCAGTAATTTCACGACGGTGATAAAAATCATTATTTGTAGAGTTCAATTCTGAACCATTGCAAAATTTATGTGCATTAATTTCAAATAAAGATTGGCATTATTACTGAACATTACAAGAAGCCAGCAAAGCTTGAACTACCCATAGGAAAGGTCAAAATAAATGGTGAATTAAGATGAATCCGATATAATTTCATATTAATGAAATCCATGTGAAGACGCCGAGGTCAATTTTGAATACCATAAGTAATCCTTGTTAAATTAAACTCTTTTGATTATGAACACAGAATAATTAATAATAAACGATCGTTGCAGAGCGAGCAAACGTTTATATGATGTATAAAAGAGGCAACCCGCATAATTTTTTGTACTAATTTAGTTGTCAATATTGGAATATCGACAGCCTCACACATGAAGATGTTGTCAACACAACAGGTCATAACTCACCGTCTCCCACTCCTTGAGGAACAAGCCGGTTGCGTAGAGCTGTTCATGGTCGTAGTCCCGCAGGAGGTGACGAAGGTTCTCGACGAGCAGGAACGAGTCGTCGTCAGTTTTAACGAGCCACTCGAAGTCATTCACGTGTTCCGCTGACCACTCAATACCTAATAATGAAGCTAAGTCAATTTCAAGCGTTCCTTTTGTTCATCTTAAATAATGAAACTTGATGAAGACTTAATTTTCATATTGCTTCAGCACAAAGCGCAAACAATAAAGTTACCAATAGCTAAACCAACAGTTCATTAACCCTCTGAACGAAGTGAGCAAAAATGTAAAAATAATCCTCTGCGTAAGTTCATTATAGTAATTTTAAAAAATACCGCATGATGGAGCGATATATTGTCTATGAATAAAAGGTGGGCTGGGTGGCTATCGAACGAGGAGCGGTCACTCAACAATTCATGCGGGACTCCATTGAAGTGCCTTGTATTAAACTCCGAACTAAAGACCTCGCCGCGAACAAGCGACATAACAGCGACCAAACTAATGACATTTCTGAGTTTGATGTCGACAAAAACACGTCGGAAAACCGCCTAGAACTGCTTACAGTCTCTATTACTGACTTTTATTACACGCAAGGAACACAGCACACCAAGGGAAAAATAATATCAGTATTTGAATTACCCTATGCTTCGACGCACATTTTTTGACACTCAAGATACTGCAAGGCAAGGTCAATGTCCTTGCAGGTTAGGTGTTATCGCTGTAAGTCGTAGAAGTAAACCTTAGACGTATAAGGGCAGAATTTTTTTAAATCGACTACAATTACATGAGCTAGTTCAATAATTCAGGACAATTTCACATATTAGGATATTGGGCGTGAGTAGCAATTTTAGCGGGATGAATGAATGAGCGGGCTGAATATATATGGTAATATAACAATAACACATTGGTATCAGCTTTAATTATGACATTTTGGTCCGTCGCTGATTCTATAATTACAAAACATCCGGCCACTTCGCTGATATGAACCAGAATTTTCAAAATTAGTTACGGGTTTCGAACCTCCAACTTGCTGCTCGAATCTACGAGGGTCTTAATCGCTAGCCCAAGCAAAAAAAAATTCCAATATAATATAAGTTGGGGGATTATCGGTAGAAAAAAATTCATCAATGTATACTTGAATCAATATATCGTTAACTACTGACGACTTGTTTCTAGAGTTAATCGTTATTGAAGTTTCATAGAAAACATGCACGTTAATCGGTATCAGAACCCGCCACTCACCCGCAACAACTTTCTCCCACAGTTTATCGTACTCGGCAGCCTGGGGCACCACGACCACCTCCCCTAAGCACGACTCGGGTTCGCTGCTGAGGAACACGACGCGATCGCAGCGTCGAGCCCAGGTCTCTTTGACGTGAACCGCGCGACTCTGATGATGCTGAGGCGACGTCACAACCATACACAAAATCCGCGACCTGCTCGCATCGGTGTTTGATCTCACGGATTTGTTCGAGGATCTTCTCTTGATCTCCGACTTTAGAGTCGTACTTGAAAATCCGTGTTCGTGGTTATCGACTAGCAGAGGATGGGAGGAATCCGGTCTTAGAGTATCTGGGAGAATGCGTGGAGCGTCATTTTCTCGGCGTTGGTGAGGAAGAGGAGGCCGCGGTAAGAACGTCTCAAGGTACAACAGCGATCTGAGCAAGAAAATATATATAATAGAATTAAAACGAGTAGGTGAGGATACCAAAATTTCTCATTAACCCGTAAAAATTAAAAAATATAATCGGTAATATAAGTTTTGAATGATTCTAATTGTTTACGTTTATGATTAATTAAAGAATTTGAAGTTACTTAAGTTATATTACGGTCAACGTGCCCATAATTGTCGACGAGCAGAGCAACTTGATGCAGCAAACAGAGGCCTATTAGCGCCACGGCCAGTGCAACAACAATGTAGTGCACCTTCAGCCGCAGCACCTTCATCCCGAGTGCGAGTCGTACGTCTGGCAAGCTCACTGCATCATGCCCAAGGGCAGGAGTGCCAAATTCTCCACGATGTCACCAGCGAACGCCGCTGCTACAAACTTCATCACATGCTGGACAGAAAACGACGGGTAATTTGTTACTTCGGTAAGCTTTTGATGTGTAAAAATGATACCAAATTAAGATAATCATGCACACATCTGTCAAATTTTTCGTACAAAATTTTGGCAACTAACCTATTTGCCAACAAACGAAGGAAAAGCTTAATTCCAAACTAAAATAAACGCAAATAAAATGCTACAATTTATTTTCTATTATTTATTTACTGCAGTATGCACACAATGTAGTGGGTGAAATTTATTCTCAACGTCACATACTTTTGCCATCTACGGTACCTCCAGAGTTTTGAGGCTATAAACTGTGAACAAGTTAAATTACGTGTTTTAAACATGCTGGGGCAGGTTATTTTATTTTCTCATTGTTAGTGCGGTCCATGTAAGTCCTGCAGACACCTTGGTAGAAACTATTTATTTGGAAATGTGTATTAATTTCACTTTGGGAAAACTCCCTATTTGGGCAGGCGATTCCACAAGTTTGGAATTTGGTGCTATGATGGTTGCGCGAGTATGGGTCGAAAAAAAACCATCCATTTTTTAACCTGATTACTGACAATAACGTAAGTTGACACGTACATAGATACGAATAACATTATAGCGTATCTACTGACAGTAAATTCAATAGAACCCAAAAGTGCGAATCCGACATTAAAATTAGAGGCAGAATCATCGGAGCTGCCTTGCAACGTATGTGTGGTTTCCGTATTCAGTATTCACAAATATATGATGCATGCAATAAACGCTAACAATACGGGCCAGTAACGTCAAAGTTTTGACTTTGCAGACTACCGATGACGGAACAAACATCATAGGCAAAGATGGTAGATCAAACATCATAGGCAAGGATGATAGATCAAATATCATAGGCAAAGATGGTAGATCAAACATCATAGGCTAAGATGGTAGATCAAATATCTATAGATCAAATATCATAGGCTAAGATGATAGATCAAATATCATAGGCAAAGATGTTAGATCAAACATCATAGGCATCACAACCTCTGCTCCGAACACAACAGAAATAGTATATATAGCGCAATAGATGGTTAGTCTCGCAGAAGAAAACCCAACGATCACTTATTGTATTTCCGTACATTCATCTCATTTACGTTGTTTTACAGAAATTTTTCTTGCTATAACTCATTAAATGAACCAAGTGCTAAGCCAAGTTGTGGATTCGCTATGAAATTTCAAAACAATTGTTTTTACAGATTACATAAAAACCTTGGAAGCATGTTTGAGAGGTAGGTTAGGGTAAATAATTAATTGTAAGAATTGTAAAATTCGATTGACATTTCATAGAGACGGCGGGGGTTGAGATGGTTAAGAATGTGGACATTAGTCCATATTCACATTAGTTTCTTTCTAGATTGTTCACATGGAACAACGGTTAACGCCGCGGTGCACATTCCAAAGCTTTCACTGATCGAGGAACGCAGCGTATAGAGAACCGTCTAGAGGACCCTAGAATCAATCAACGACCTAGAGAAGCCTAGAATCTAGGTGCTAGGAAACAAGAATCTAGAAAGAACGTAGAATCCCCGATGATCATATTGTACGGTCAAAAGTACAATACCTCCGCGCCGGGCGTCACTCAGGCAGTGAGACGACACCAGAAACAATGAAACGCACGGCGGTCGAGTAGCGAGTAGGCAAAATCATCATTCAAGTAACGTACACGGCACAAAAATTATCGTTCGGGGGGAAGGTCATGGTCAGCAGCAACGTGGCCCCCAAGCCCAGAGCAATATCCTACAACTGGAAGCCAACTAAACTATTTCGGAACCATGCGGTTATTGATATTGCGGCCCACCCGACCACGAGACATCTTTATAAGCGGTGATATGAGTTTGCAGCTAAGAAGAAGAAAGAGCTACGAGTGATGGCTACAAGTATACAGGGCTTCTGCATACTTGCAAACAAGCATACAGGTCTTTTGTATACCTGCATACAAGTAAGCATAGGCTTCTGTATACTTGCCGTGAGCTTCTTGCCACTTCGCCGTGTGACAGCCACTTGAAGGCATACGGTCGGCACGACAGTTAATTAAGGGAGTTCGTGAAAACTACGGAGTTCTGTCGAGCTGGTACGACAATGGTATATACCACAGTAATAAATCGCATCATGAATTGTCTTCTTCCAGTGAAGTGAGAAAGTTATAATGGCAACTAGAGCCATTCAATTGTGAAGCGATATATTTGGTTTAGAATCATAATGGAAGTTGAAGAGGATAAATGTCTATTTTTAAATCAATGGCGAGTCAAAATTTTAATAATTACTTACTTAGTTCGTTTTTTTTTGACGTGGCTTGGGGTTTCCTAAATTTTTTCGAACATGATTTGAGTTCGTTTAAAGCTTGCATTTTATTTACCGTATTGATTTCACAGCAAACATTATTTGGAAACGAACTTCAATTCGACCTTGTGGGCCTAGTATTCGATACCTAATTAAATGATTGATTGGTGAAATGCGTCGGAAGAGCATGGGAATGCCGAACACGACAGTGTCGGCCTTTCACGAAATGACATCGACCTTCACCGTCAGATTTGATAGCCGTATTATGCCGGCAGACATAACAAATACGCTGTATTTCAAACAAAAGAAATGATGGTGAACTTTTCTTTAAACGATATTTAGAGGGTGCTCCACAATCCAAACATAAATGTAACATGTAACATTAAAGCTACATATCGGTTTCTATAGCATCCAAACCATTCATGTGACTAATTTACTTTATTCAGATGAATTAATAGAGGCTATGTTGTAAGATCAAGGGAAGTAGAATACCCAAAACACAATTTCTAACTATGATTGAGATTTACTTAAAAAATTGTGTACTATAAAAAATGTTCGTCGTAAAAAGCCGTTGCTGCTGACATAAGATTTGCACACGCTAAATAACACAGATCTTTTCGTATGAATCACAGGTAGTATAGGCTGTGAAGTCGGATCGATGAACTAATGTAATATATAATCAAAGTGAAAATATAATTAATTCGACTTTGGTCAATTGATGAAACTTTAAGTTCGGAAACATCGCAGGGAATGAATTCAAACTTATTTTATGCTAATAAATTCGTAATAGATTATTTAACTCCGAATTACAGTGAGTATAGAACTAAGATAAGAGTAACTTTTACAACCGCTCAAACTTTTCAAACGCCTCAAAAGAAAAGAAACCCTTGAATAACATCGCTATCTTAAAAGTTACAACAACCGTTTGAACTATAACTGCTTAAGCCGTAATAATCACAGTGGCGCATAAGCTAGTACAACTGTGAAAAAGCATAAGTTAAATAAGAAAATGCTGCCCAGAAAAAATAAGTGTCACTAATTCAAACTTCGCGCCTTTAAAGTAAGCCATTTACCAATGAGGCGGCATGGACTTGGAAACAACTACAGCGGCGGCATGGACATGGAAACAACTACAGCGGCGGCAATGCGGCATGGACATGGAAACAACTACAGCGGCGGCATGGACATGGAAACAACTACAGCGGCGGCATGGACATGGAAACAACTACAGCGGCGGCATGGAAACAACTACAGCGGCGGCATGGAAACAACTACAGCGGCGGCATGGAAACAACTACAGCGGCGACATGGAAACAACTACAGCGGCCGCCACCGCGCCGCTCATGGCTGGCGTTCGCTCATCGATCGCACGTAGGACGTCGCCCTGTGCAGGCTCCGCATCCTATAGCCTATGCCGCATATATTTATTTTATTCCTGCAATTAAGAGTATTCCTGAAAACCTTTAATGTAATTGTAACATCTACCATAATCGTTAACTCCTGTTACGTTCAAGAGATTTGCCAATTTCCTTGAGTTAAGTCCTTGAGTTAAGTCCTTGAGTTAAGAATTAATCCTGTAATTTGTGTCTGAGGAAGAAGCGGCAAAATCGGCACCCAATCGCAGCGCTCAACCTTGCCATAATAGAAGCGACCAACTTTACAGTATCTCAGTGGTATTTTTTAGCGAAAGTGGTGGATTGGTTGACTTTATTGTGGTATTTTTGCTTGGTAAGTAATGCTTGGAGGCGGTGTCGTGGTATTTTTCCACATAATTTCAAACTTCAGGTATGGTTATTTCTTTATTGTGGCATTATTCGGCGATTTACCATTAGTGTAGTGTCATTGGGCGGCGACTTCAATGTTCTCTCCATTCATTGACGGGAATTCGGCCCACGCCAGTCTGGGGAACGTACGATTCATTGTTGCGTCAGCACAATACACAATAGCTTTCACACAATACACAATGCTGCCCACCAGGAGCAACACGGGCGTACTCCACACCGATAAAATGTTGATAAATAATTGAATAAATAAAATGGGAATAAATTAAATGGTGCCGAGTTCGTCTTTATTCGATGCTGGCGCCGAACGGGAAAAACGTATTGCAAATTTCAGAATTATTAGATACCGTCGAGCATCAAGGGAACTCCGAGTAACTACATGTAGGCAGATAATCTCTTTATGTAAACTATGTATTAATAATGAATTAATACTAGAAAATTTGATACGAAAAAAATACAGGGAAGTAATCTTGACTAAAATTGTGATTTTAAACAAACACCAATAATATTTTACTCTCATTTCATGAGAGTAAATGTAATGGAATTGAATCGTTGTGGTATATAAAATAAAAATATATACTGCTAGACAACCAGGTATCTAGTGGAGTTATACGTGCGTACGATGGATTAGTATGTATGAATGCCTTGAATGAGTGAGCATGAATAATGTGTGAGGAATTAACATGACAATTCGACGGTGTCAATTGTCCTACAGTCCTGATGTTACACAATCCCCCCCTTGTAAAAATTTCCTTCACAATCTTTATCAATAAAACTCAGAAGATTAAGCTTATATCTTAGAGAAAAAAAAAGAACAAAACAACGTCACCCAGTGAAGCAACTGCTTAGTTGAAACAAATGACATCATCGGAAGGAAACTGGTGCCATGAGTGCAATACTGAAAACAAATCTGAGCCACAACGGCAAGTCGGCAACTGAGATGATTTTTCCCTTGGCAAGGCAACACATATTACAGTTTAAATTAAGAAAAAACACGAACTTACTACTTCGGCATCAAGCTGAAATTAAAACGTGCCTCTATAGTGAATTTCGTCAAACTTAATGCTCATTGAGTGGTGCACGATCAGAATGTGCTTTCTACTCCCAATGCTACATCATCACTCGCCGGCAGCCAGCTCCTCACTGAGAGTCTGAGAGCCTTCAGCCTTGTGCTTCATGGTCATGCAGCAGCCTCGTTTCCTTGCTGGCCCCAAGACGTGAGACTCGAATCACTGGAGAACAGGAGACTTCAAACGTCCTTTGCAAGCAGAATAGGCTTATCTATTACGAAATTTAAAGTTAACTTGTACAAGTGATAAGTTGGTTAGTAATACAGTTGACTATTATATTCCAAAGAGTCGTCTGTTGCCTAAAAGTGAGCTGGATGACTAAATTTGGTGAGGCCTATATTTCCTTACAGCGTCTGTCCTGAAAAACATAGTAATTTATAACCATGATTCATAATTGAACCATTATCAGTCCACTGCCATGTTTTTGTTCAGTAGTTGTGTAAATTGTGCCCTGATTAAAACTTTTTGCTAGAAAATATAACTTAAACCCATTGTTAAAAAGCACACTCCCATGTTATACTCGCTATCTGACGTCACCGGATAGCGCGGAGTCCCTGTCCAGTGTCCAAGGACACACTCCTGTACGTCACTGAGGCTCACTACTGTACCAAAATTCCAGGGAAAGATTGTTTTGTTCGCGGATATTAACGATTAATGTTGCCATTAAGGGTCACAAAATTTATGATTTTTTTCAAGATCGCAGAGCTGATATAATTCCAACAACCCCTTTAGTAACCAAGCCAACTAAGATAACAGTTATGACTAGCATACAGAGTGAGCACGAGTTGGAGGATGTTTGAATCATCGATTATCTCTTAACATGATAAGACTTGTCCATCAATTGCCATTCTCCGACTAAATTTTTACGATATTGTGACTTGTAACCCCTTTTAATCTATCAGAACCAATTTTTAAGTCCTCCTATTAGCTATTACAATTTTAGATGAGATGAAATTGTGCTCTAATTTGCAATGAGACTCTCTGAGCGCCACTAACTGGATTCACTGTTCGTATTTTGATTCAAGCCAATATTTCCTAACTGATGTTAAATTCAGACAATAGCGGGAATAATTCGCTCTATTAATACTACCAAGTTCACACTATTAAAAAGTATTTCGTGAGCGCATATATAAATATATCCTTCCAATATAAAAGTTTTAGTTCGTGTTTCTTCATGGTTTAAAACCTTATGTGCCCTTATACGAACAACGAAATTGTGGTTACTAGCTGACTTGCCATTATACAGTAAAATTATTATTTGATGTACGATGTGATAAGTACGATATTGCTACGGTATACGATAGTACGATGTGGCAAAGGTAGTAATCCTCAAATGGCACATCGAATAATATTAGATCTATCATTTATTTATGGAAGTTTCTGAGTATGTTTGAAGCCAGGCACCATAGAATACCATTTCCAGCGCGTACCAACATTATTTATCGTGTCGGAATATTACCTCGGAGAAGATATTCTCAATGTGGGTAGTGTGAAATATTGGGAAATGAGGGAGCGAGCGAAAGTTAAATTTTTTCAATGTGAATTTCAATTTGGCCCGTTTTAATTTTTTTTAAAGATATAAAGGTAAATTTTCCAGCAAGTTTCAAACGGAACTTTAATAGGAGGACGGTGCGAAATTGGGTTTTGAGAATATTGATTTATAACCTTACATCCCTGTACCATATACCGCACCAGAATGACGCGATTCTTTTCTTTTCTTGAAATAGATATTCTGGAATTATTTATTTCCAGCAGCATTGGGGTAGCCAGCTTCTTTTTGGCTAGAGTAAAAAAGTCTTGCATTCCAGAAGACAGCAAAATACTATATTAAAAATTAAATTTTACCGCGAATTTCGGCGTACGTAAATCCGATCGAGTCACCTTCAATTTTAAGTAACATAACACAAACAAATGCACCGTTTCGGACAAAACCCGCATGGAAAGCACAGCAGCGATATAATATTACAAGAGAATAAAATATGAAAGCAAAATTATTTTCAAGCATTTAGTCCAAAACAGTAATGAAAAATATTCTCGTAAATCCATGTAATCAAAACAAAATAAGGTAAAAGAAACAAGAGGGCAAGGGACTATTATTTTCGTGATCCTAGAGGATTAAATGAAAACAACTGAAAACCAAATCAATACAAGGCATAATACAGAGAAAATCCAATTTTTTATTTCAATAAAAAGGTTTAATTCTGTCTTCTAGAATTGAAAGTGCCCATAATAATTGCTGTAAAAACATGCTCGCTTCTAAAACAAACTATAAAAAGATACCTACTAACTAACTGAACTCAAACTATCAATTTGATCAAACCTTAAGTCGTATATCTATGTAACTAATGTAACGTCAGCATGTGGAACCCCTGTTGAAAAATTCGCTGCATTTATGGACTATTTCCTGCTTCCTAATGGAAAAAAAGAATCGTAGGTCAAAATTACAATTTTTTGTTGATTAAGCTCACATCTTTCCCATAAGGAATATATGGTAAGGCGGACACTAATCATATTCAAATAATTTTATCTATATATGTTTCATATGAAAATAAACCAAGTTTTGACGTGATGCTTGTTGAGGGACATGTTCAATAACATGCATGGCAATATGATCACCGCATCATGCTGAGCATCATAACCAACATATCAGGCACAGCAACCTGACCACCGTAACATGCCCAGCAACTACCGTATTGTAAACATCAACATGATCATTGTAACATGCACAGCAACATAACTACCGTAATATGGACAGCAACATGACCACCAAAACATGCGCAGCAAAAAGACCATCTCATCACGCTTCTTCATCTTATACTTGGTATTGAATCATTTAAATTATTACCGGATATGGTAATTCTAATTTCACTCAAACGAAAAATGTAAAATTTTATCAAAGTTGAGTAGGCCTAATCCGGCCTGGCAGCAAACTATTCCAATCTGGCCTGTTATTAACATCCAGGTTACCTCACCTTTTCGAAGAAAACTATTTCGACTCACTTGTATCGAGCACACAAATCATCGAATAAATAGTTCTTCTTAATTAAATTCAACGATTATCCGGAATTTAATCATAAAGTTCTCAAACAAACGGACGTTCCGGTCTGGCATCCAATATTGTTATGATTGCCAGTGTTGGTGTATGTGATTGCCTGTTTGGTATGCGTTCAACCATCAACCGTAACAAATCAGGTTTACTGATCAATGTAGCTCTCATGGCTCATGCAAAGTGTTGAAAGTTGTATTGTGATGAAATTTAATATAACATGCATATACTCTTATTAATGTTCAAATGTTCCTCTTAAATGGAGACACCAGTTAGAGCCGTATCTCGTGTGAGTAACTTTTAGTTTAATGATGCAATTTATGTGGATTACCAATCAAGTATCCCTTTATTTGGTCATTGCCTTATTTCTTTTGTAAAGAGTAGTAATTTAGTAAAAACTGCAAAAAGAATACCTTTTGTCTGCAATTTGTGGAAAATTTTGCCAGACATTCAACCTGATTCAAGATCATTTGATTGCTTTGCATTTGCTAGATTCTTGTCTCTTGAGTCTGCTCCATTATCCATTTTACTTCAGAGTTTTAGAAAAGCACTGTAGAAAGTTTAGATTGATACCAATTAGTGATTTACCAGTGTTAGGTGCTCGTTCAAGAGTCTTGTTTGAACGTTCATTGTGAGAGGTGCTACTTTACTATCGCTCTAAGTTCGAACCTAAATCTGTCCAAAGTGCTTAGTCCCGCGTTTTGAACATAAATTTTGATTATTGATCAACTCCTGTGACTAGTTTATAGTAAAACTCAGTGTTTCCAAGTGCTAAGAAGACAGCCATGTCTGCCTCTTCATCCGGCCACATAACAAGCTTTGAAGACCACAGCTCAACAATGGCGGACCTCTCGGGAACCGACGACTTTCCTTCGCCCTCCCCTGTCCTTGGCCGTACTGTGATAACAAAGAAACCTCGACTACATGCTAACCCCACCCTTTCAGCTGAAACTAGTTCTATGACATCTAGCAGACTAACGAACAGCGAGCAACCTGTACAAAAATCCTCTTTGACCTGCCTCCTTCTACGAGAAGACAAAAAAGCCTTGCCCTTTAAT